GCTATGTTAGTTTACCAGAAGGTAATGTAGTAATGATACTGTAAGGCTATCACCAACAAATAGTAACATAACATCTTTGACCCATGTTTTTCAAACGGAAGCCTAGGAATCACCAGCTTCAACCGAATGACCAATGGCTTGGGTGAATACTGCGCCAATCCAAAATCGCCGTTTGCAAACTCGACCTCGCGCTTATTATGTTCGTGCGCAAACACCTTTGAGTCATCTTTCAGAATGAGAAAGTGTAAATATAATTTAATATAATTTAATATTATATTATATTATATTATATTATATTTACATACAATATATACAATATATACAATATATACAATATATACAATATATACAATATACAATATATTATATATGTATATAATTATACATATATGTATGATTATATGTGCCAAAAAAGAGAGAGAGAGAGAGAGATATCCAAAATCCGAAAATGCCCCTGTCACCCCATCCCTCTGTCGACGAGCCTAGCGAGGAAACACGTCACCAAAGAGTTGGGGGAGGACGTGGTGAAGCAGGAGGACCGCGGATGGGACGGTGCAGGTTGTGGCTCATCAACTTAATCCTTTGAGAATGAAATGAATCAATATATCTAATATATAATATATCATATAATATGTATGTACAATATATATAAATATATATAATATAATATATATATATATCTATATATATATACATATAACAGTGTATTTAATATAAAATATTATATAGATATATATATATATATAACATTAGCTTTTATATATAACATTAAATTTTATATATAATATTATATGTATAACATTATATTTTGTTTAATAATATATATATATAATATCTATTTTGTAATATTATAGTTATATGTATATACTGTATATATATATGTATGGATAACAGATATAGGTAACTGACTTAAGCAGGCAGTTTTGGTTTATTTGCAGGGTATCCAAGATTTTCCATGTGCGGGGGGAAACCATCGTCTCAAGACGCCGAAATTTTGCCGGCAGGACTACTTTTGCCTCGCTTCGGTTTCCCAAATGCTGTGGACAGGAAATTTGCGGAATGGAGTAAAGGTTGGGAAGGGATTCTGCGGTTAGCAACTGGTTGGTTCATACTGTAGGTTTGCATATTCTGAAGTGGTTTTGCATCACGTGTTTTTTTCAAGTAGATGGGCAAATATTTTTTGCCTGTGCTATGCGTTTGTCAGACCATGTTTCTCACAATTTGCTATTGCCACAGGCCTGTTTCAACAACTTCCACGCATGCATGCGTATCTGTATAAACCAACATTATATATTCATGATTGACTTGCCTAAACTTACAAATTCTGTCATTTCTCTACAGTATCTCTCAGAGATTCAAGATTTTAGATCGACCCTTCAAACATGTGTAGAATGACCTCACTCTATTTCCTCATTTCGATCCATTGCAGTGTTCCAATATGAAGTGATTGTTGCAGTACTGCAGTACCCCATATGGCTATTATCGATCCTTACCATTCTTGAGGGGATGGACATCCATTTTACCAAGGTTCATTTGCCCTTCGACTGGGAAGCCATCGAAGAAGTGGACGGAGAAGAATCACTGCGCAGGATTGGAGCGAAACCAGTGGAGCAATGGTAGAACATCACCACACACCAGATGGATAGTTTATAAATCTTTATATCAATTGGTAAAATATCAATGGTAGAACATCACCACAACTTAATCTGAATTTCTATAAACGGGTCGATATTTGATCTAGCTAGAAATAGATTTCTTTGCAGGGTAAGATTGACTCATGAAATTTGCGTATGCCTTCGGAGACTGGATCCCTTTTGGATCCTTTTGGAACTTTTGGTAATTTCACCTGGTACGAGAAATTTCCTTTTTTTCTGTGAAAACATTGAGAACATCTACAACCCAAGGAGTTTCCATTCCTATGTGTGTTTACAGAAGGGAAAATAATCCATTGCACGTGGTGAAACACCATATAAATTTACACAATATTTCACCATATTTCACCTGAGCAATGGTGGTTTCTGGGAGTTATGTGTTGTCTTGCGTGCCTGGGATAGGATATGGGAGGAAATTCAACCCAATTGGAGGAGATGCCCAAAAAAAATGCACATGGAAAACGAAGTGGGCAATAGCATCTTCCAAAACATTTTTTGATGATGCCAAAATCATCCTTGCTGGGTAGCAAGCGCCCCCGTCTTGATGGCTTAGATATGCTTAGATCATCTTAGATCTCTTGGGTAGTTCATTTACTCATGGCAAAATGCAAAGCTTATGGTTGGAGGGTGAAGTGCCCAATGTCTTGGTATATTTCCAGTACCGCTGTGTGCCTCGGCCCAACTGATGCAGGATAGCCCGTCCAAAGTATGTGGGATCAATGCAAAACCTCCCACCAACCAGCTTGAGTTGTGTTTATTTTGCTTGGTGGTTTTGAAAGCAAGCATGTTTGTTTCCTTTAAGTTTTTTCCTTGCCTGGCCTGGAATGATCAAGCCCAATTGACCATCATACATTTTCCAGCAAATCTGAACTACCGATCAATCCATAGTATTCATAGTGACTCTCCAACTACCTACATTAATTTCACATGTCGATATGTCCTACCAGATAGTGCCCGGCCCGCGCCGGGGCGGAAGTTTCGAAAATAGGAAATGGCTGTAGGAAATCAATGGCCCATAGGAACGTTTTTGAGATACAGAAGCCATGAGCGGTTGAAGTTGTGAGGTGCATCAACGAATGAGGAAATGGTGGTTGAGATGCCAATGAAATGACATGAGAGAATCCGTGCACAACTGAATGAATCAATGAACCAGCGAACCGAGGAACCAAATCAGTGAATTCATGAAACAAGGGTCAATGAAGCAGGCAAGCAATGACTCAATGAACCAACCAAGCAGTGAACGAATGAATCAATGAACCAGTGAATCAACAAATCAATGAATCGGTGAGTCAATGCATCAATGACTCGATGATTCAGTGAATCAATGAATCAACGAATCAATGTATGAATGATTTAGTGAGCCGATGAATCAATGAATCAGTGAATCAATGAACGACTGAAGTATAGAGTACAGTGGATGAATCAGTGAATCAGCAATGGTTCAGTGAATCAATGAAGCAATGAACCGATGAATCAATGAAATGATGATTCAGTGAATCAATCACTCAGCGGTTCGGTGATTCAGTGAATCAATGAACCAACGCACGGGTGAACTAGTGAGTCGATGAATCGATGAATCAACGCCTGAGTGAATGAGCGGGTCAATGAATCAACGAATCAGTGAACCAATGAACCACTGATTCAGCGAACCAATGATCAATGAATCAATGAACCAATGAATCAGTGAATCCAATGATCAATGAATCAATGAACCAATGAATCAGTGAATCCACGAATCAATGAACCAATGAATGAAGGGATGGATGAATGAATGAATGAATGAATGAGTGAGTGAGTGAATGAATGGATGGATGGATGGATGGATGGATGGGCGAGCTACTTTTCTTTGTTGAGCTACCTGCTACCTCTTCACTGAGCGACCTCTTCGCTGAGGCACCTGTTCTCTCAGCTACTTCTTCTCTGAGCAGCCACTTATCTGGGCTTCTGTAGCTTCACAGTTCTTCTCTTTGCGCAGTTGTTACACTGAGCGCAGCAAGCTCCAGCTGCAATCCCGAATAGCACAACAGTACCGCCGCTATGGTCAAGAACTGCCTTTCGCGAAGCTATTACGATGCGTTTAGCAACCTCCAGCTGCAATCCCACTTGCCATCACTCATGCTGTGCTGCGCGCAACCGTGCCAGTGCGTCTTGTCACAGCCGGTTGCAAACCCACATAGCAGGAGCGCCACACCAAATCGACCAACGTTCGCGCAGCGCTGACAATGGGGACTGGATCGCGCAAATCCGGCGCAGTCTGCGCACTTCAGTTTTTTGCGATTTTTTATGTGAAATCTAGCTCTCACTACAGTCTGGTGCACATTTTGCCGACCTCATCTTCCAAAAGTGTTCCGAGCGCTGCGCTGTTTTCAGATTTTGAAGTGCAAATCAAGCTCCCGCCACGGTCCTGTGCACTTTTTGCCGACAACTTTCCCAGATCCAGCCCCGAACCAGAGGAAACAGAGACGGCGACCCCAGGAGCCGCTTTACCCCAAAACACAGGGGTTCGCGCCGGAGAGCGTTTTACCCGTGAATTCACACGCGTCCGAGTTGTTACGCTTCCCAGCTACTTGATGATGGGTGGTTGACATGCAGATGTGGTTGACATGATGATCTGGCTGACACGATGGTGGGAATGCTAACCATGACAAAAGTCCGTAACTCGGAAGTTTCCTAACTAAACTTCCTTTGGTTAGAAAAATCATAGATTAGGGCCTATGGTTTGACCTTTTTTTGTTTTCCATGTCGCAGTTTGCCGCAGGAAAGACCTCTGGAATCAGATTGACCTTTGCATCACCGCCACTGGCGAGGTGTCCGTTATGCAATGTTTGATGTCTGCCACGGGGGAGGCAACCTTATCCCCAGGATTCCCCAGGAATAATTGGGATTTGATTTAACTGATGTTGTTGATTTAACTGGTTTACTGATTTAAGTGGCTTAAGTGCTTTTCACTCATTTAACTGATTTAACGAGTTTACTGATTTAATCAGATTTTTTTGATTAACTGATTGAACGTGTTTATTAATTCGTCTGATTACCTGATTTAACCACTAAACATGGGCTAAAATTAACTGAAACAACCTTTTCATGGTGATTTATTGAAGGTATAATGGGATTTATGTGAATATTTATACATACATACATACATACATACAGTTTAATATATATATATATGTAAATAAACATATATGTAAATATATATATATATATACGTATTTACATATATATATATGTAAATATTTATACGTATATATATATATACACATATGTAAATATATAGATATATACATATGTAAATATATATATACATATATATATGTAATTACATATGATCACCAATACATGATTTTGATATTTTGGGTTTGTTCAAAAAAGGCGGCGTATCCTAAAAGAATCCAATACTGCCACGCTGCAAAGGAAAATGATGATAGTTGATTGGAATCAGGGGTAGCTGATTTTAAGACGCAGTCATTAAAATCCTTGGTGAAACCCTAAGACATGATCTACAAGTGGTGAATTTCTATGTGTAACTCAAACTGCTACAGTTTCCGGACAAAGAAACAATTCTGTAGAGGCGAACGCTCAAAGGTCTTTGACTTTTCTACCGGTTTGATCAAACTTCATTCTAGGTATACTACAGGTTTCAGATCCAAAAGAGCTCAGAAACATATTCTGGCCGCTTTGCGACGACAACCGCCCGCACCGGAGTATTAGCTCCAATAATACCATGTATGTTCTATGTTGAGCCTTTGTAGGGCGCATGTTGGGAGTATGTTGGGCCCATGTTGGCTCTGTGTTGGGCCTGGGCCGATGTTGGGCCTATGTTGCCATGTTGGGCGATTTTGGGTCCATGTTGGGCCTATCATGTTGGGCCTATGCTGGCGCGTGCTGGGCCTCTGTTGCACCCATTTTGGGCCATCTTGAGCCCGAGTTTGGCAAGTTAGCCAATTTTAGGTCCTTTAAAAAACGTGGAAAAACCTTGCCACCCCCCCAAGCTAAAGCTTAATTAATAGCTAGTGCAATTGCTAGAAAAAACGCCTCGGCACCTTCGGCGTGGGCAGATTTAAAGGTGTTCCTTTCGTGTGTTTCCTCTCCTTTTTGGGGCTGTTACACAGCTACAAAGAGGAGGCGATCTTCTCCGGCTCTCCGATGTGATGTTGCTGTGTTTAGGGAGCAAGTCGATGAAGTCTGAAAAGTTTCCAACAGACTGGGAAATGAGACATGAAAGCATCAAGGGTTGACAAGTGGAATATGGAAAATCCGGCCTTTATAAATTGGGATTTTCATGCGAAAATCATCGAACCAAATATGGGACTTTTCAGAGAGCCATGTTTGATTACCGCGGAGTGTTCAAACGAAAGGACCTTGTGTTCTCATGAAGCTTCCAGCATTATATATTATATCAGATGCCCAGAAATTTACGAATCAGATGCATCTTTCTACTGTAGCTTCCTAAAATCTGGTAAACGTGGCCCACGTGGCAACGGACACCCTGAGAGGAACCCCGGTGCCCACCCTTGAACAACCAAAATGATGAAATTGTACACTGGAAAGGATGAGGATCAGCCACTACCAAACAACCCAAGAGAGGATTATTGTTTATTCTCATCCCAATAGAGAATTCTTACATGCGTATAAATAGATATATATATATATATATAATCATATATAACTATAATATATAATATCTATGTATGTATGGTACGGTATTGTACGTATGTATATGTGTAAAGGCATCCATATAAAAGTTTCTGTGCACTCCTGGGTATCAAGGGAGCTCCGCAGGGTCAGCCAGAGCACTCTGGACCAGTGGAGACGGCCCGTGTGGTCTTGGGTGAGCATTGCACCTTGGCGGAGCGGTGACTGTCGGTGACTGTGTCCACGCTATGGTCTAGGTTCAACGGATTTTCATTTCAAGACACACACTTGCAACGATATGTATGTGTGTGTGTCTATATATCTATATATATATATGTATATATATACAGTCATGTATAGACTGGACTATACTATACTAGACTAGGCTAGACAACTGGTTGGTAAAACCCGAGCATTTGGCTGGCCATGTCGCTGTCGCTTGCGCCGGCCCCCAGGTGGCCTTGAAGTCAGTGATGAACTTTGGCGAAGCGAGGCCCCGGTTGATTCGTTCGGCATTTTATTCAGGTGTTTTAGCGAAGATGATTAGCTGGGGAATGGTACTAACCAATATATTTGGGGAAGATGATGATCAGTTAATTTGGGTGTATGGTTCATGAACCTAACCGACCTAACCATGTTTGGACTAATTTGGAATAAGCATAATCCTTGATTTGCTGAAGATGATTTCTTGTGGTCCCCAATGGGAAATCCACTACTTGGGGAATCCATAGGTGATATGTGTGGTTTTTTGGGACTTCTTTGGGCAAACCCAAGTGATGGTGTCCAATATCATTAAGCATCTATTGTAACCATCAGCACATGTCGACATCAAAACGTACAAAACACAAGATTCTGGGAGCACTTTTAGAAGTTGAGATGTTCATAAAAGTGCACAGCGTTGTGGCGCGAAGCACATGTCCAAAAGTCAAAATGTACAAAACGCTCCAGGTTAGATTTTGCGTGACAGGTGCAGCACTTCGTATGACATGGCCTCACCTTTTCGTGGCAGGCACAGTACTTTAGATAGATGGAGTGGCAAACTCGCAAAACGCATTGGTACGAGGCTGTCAGCTCTGCACTTTCCATTTTTGAAGGAAGTCTTGCGGAATTGCTTCGTTTTTGATGTTGCAATTTCGAAACTTGAGAAATTCTCGCAGAATTTCTGCATGTTTGATATTGTCAACTTCCAGATTTGAAGGACGTTTCGCAGAAAAGCTTCGTTTTTCAGCATTCAACTTCAAAATTTCAATCAAGCCTCGCAGAATAGTTTCGTTTTCAAGCTTGCAGATAGATAGATAGAAAGACAGATAGATAGACAGATAGAAAAATGTATAGACAGACAAATAAACAGACAGATAAAATAAATAGATAGCTCGACAGACAGACAGACAGATAGACAGATAGATAGACAGATAGATAGCTAGGTAGACCGATAGGTAGATAGATAGACTGGTAGATAGATAGACAAATAAACAGATAGATAGACAGATAGATATATAGATAGATAGACAGATAGATAGACAGATAGATAGATAGATAGATTGACAAATAGATAGACAGATAGATAGATAGATAGATAGACAGATAGATAGACAGATAGGTAATAGATAGGTAGATAGATGGATAGATAGATAGACAGATAGATAGATAGGTAGATAGATAGGTAGATAGATAGATACATACATACGTAGATATATAGATAGACAGACAGACAGACAGACAGATAGATAGATAGATAGATAGACAGATAGGCAATAGATAGATAGATAGATAGATAGACAGATAGATAGATAGATAGAGATAAATAGATAGATAGAGATAGATAGAGATAGAGATAGAGATAAAGATAGAGATAGAGATAGAGAGAGAGAGATAGATAGATAGATAGATAGAGGTAGATAGATAGATAGAGATATATATATATTAATAGAGATAGATAGAGATAGATAGAGAGAGATAGAGATAGATAGATAGATAGATAGAGATAGATAGAGATAGATAGATAGATAGAGATAGATAGATAGATAGATATTAGATAGATAGATAGATAGAGATAAATAGAGATAAATAGAGATAGAGATAGATAGAGATAGGGATAGAGAGAGAGATATAGATAGATAGATAGATAGATAGATAGAGATAGATAGATAGATAGATAGAGGTAGATAGAGATAGATAGATAGATAGATACATAGATAGATAGATAGATAGATAGATAGATGCATAGATAGATACATAGATAGATACATAGATAGAAAGATAGATAGATAGATAGATACATACATAGATAGATAGACAGATACATAGATAGATAGATAGATAGATACATAGATAGATAGATAGATAGGTAGGTAGGTAGATAGATAGATTGGTAGATAGATTGACAAATAGACAGATAGATAGACAAATAGACAGATAGATAGACAGATAGATATATAGATAGACAGATAGATAGACAGATAGATAGATTGGTAGATCGATAGGTAGATAGACAGATAGGTAGGTAGATAGATAGATTGGTAGATAGATAGACAAATAGACAGATAGATAGACAGATAGATATATATAGATAGGCAGGTAGATAGACAGATAGATAGATAGATTGACAAATAGATAGACAGATAGAAAGACAGATAGATAGACAGATAGGTAATAGATAGATAGATGGACAGATAGATAAAAAGACAGACAGATAGACAGATACATAGACAGATAGATCAGCAACACTCCAACCACCTTTCGATCCATCGGTGAGTTCGCTCTGCCATCCATGATTCACAACAACCCAACTCTCCTATAGGTTTCCTATCTTGCGCCACAGCCTTGCGCGATACCAGTGGTAGTGGGTGGGATATAGCCAACAATATGATACTTGGGTTAGACTAGTGTTGGCACGGTGTATCACCCCAGGATGGCAATTTTCATGGGCAAATGATGATAGGGTCCTCAATTTTTATGTACGCATAACAGATTGCAGTGGATCTTTCATTTCAATCCGATTGAATCCTATCACTCCAGGACCTTTCACCCAGAGTTCCAGCAATGTTCTGGTGCGAAATGGTGTGAAGCAAATTGGATTTTGGATTGAGGTTGGCTAGATTTTAGACCATGGAGGGTCGGTGAGGTGCAGACGCGACTGCGTGGACATCTGAATCTGCAGAGCCTGCCGTTACGATTGAAGGACTGGGTTTCAACGTTGCTGCAGCAACGCCGACTTTGTGTGTAGAGTAGATGCCCGACTAGTTGAGACGACAATCCTGTTTATTACTATATAATCTTACTGCGTTTACTACTGGCAGCTGGCTTTTGTAGACAGTTGTAGACGATCTATTTGTTCGTCACTCTGTTTGCCTCATTGTCTATCTGTCCATCGATGTACTGTACCTATCGCTATCTATATGCATATACGTTTAAAGTTTATATATATATATATGTATGACTGTATGACCATACAATATACATATATATATATATCGTATGAAATATTCACTTTTGGAGATTGTCATCGGCGCGCAGGATCAAATGGGCGCCGAGGTCTTTCCTTTGCTGCTGCCCAGTGATGCTGCAGCTACTCGGTCGCCAAGGTGTCGGTTGCTGGTGGGAATCCATTTGTGCATATTTGTGCCGCAGTCAACAGTTGGATGATATACCACTACCATTTTTAAAAGTTAATGGATATACAGTCAAAAGTTGGATGGTTAAGTTCGAACTGGTGATTTCATGGATAATGTTCCATGTTCAAAAGTTGATTTTTACCAATGGTATTTTGATGTATTGTTTTGACCAACTATAATCAAAAGTTGGATTAGATTAACCCGCTTCTTAGGGGATGTTTCATCAGCCCATCCATAATAGGGGCTGATATGCCGACTATGATTAGTAATGGCGGGATGACCACAAACCATTCATTGATACAACCCGCCATACTGGCGATTGAAGTGATTCTGGTAAGAGTAATCCCTGTTTTCATGGGGGTTAGCCATCCAAAATAGTTTTATGACCTACCAAAATTGAACCATATAGCAAACATAAATATATAGATGATAATCCCTTCCCCCTAATAATACAGTCTGCCATGCCCCAAAACAGGGACGCTTTGATATGGTGTGATATGTTTTAGGGGGATGGAGTTGCATATAGTGAAAGATATCCGGGAACCAAGCACAAAAGACTAGTTTTTCCCATGATTTTCCCATATTCCCATAGATGGACCAGAACACTATGGTTGGAGTTTCGTGATTCTATTTGGGAATCCAGGTGATTGAAGATATTTTAAGATGAGTCAAGCACACATCAGGATAAGAGCCGGCTTCACTGAATTAGGTTGTTGGAAGTGCATTACCATGATGGAATTGTACAATACAAGACAATCTTCATGGAAGTCATGATATCACTATTCTACAATATTTACCAATATCCATGGATTTCGTGAAAATCTGTGGTCAATACTGAAATCTTTGCCCAAATTCCATAGCTATGGAAACTTAACCAACCTTTATGGGGAATGGGACAAAATGGTGTTATAGTGGGTAAGAATCTGGATACATTGTACGACCTCACGCCGCGACGTCGCTGGAATGATAGGGGTGCATGATGCAGATGGTTTATTGGGGTATCCCATTTGTTCAGATCATGTCTCACTATCCCATGTGATGATTAACTGGTTTATTGTCATCATTTCCCAATTGGTTCATGGCATCCACTAAACCAACATAGATATGGAGAATCCACCACTTGTAGATGATTTACCTATTCGAAAATGATGGTTTTCCATAGCAAACTGTTAGTTTTCCAGAGTGTATCACCATTACATCCCATGATATTCCATGAAATCACAACATTAAATCACCAGTTCTATCCCATTAAATCCCATAAAACCATTAAAACGATCCCACCACTCTTCATTAAATCACCATTTAAATCACGATTTAAATCCCATCAAAACTGGCTATGTTTGATGACCAGTTTCGGGAGCTCACCCAGGTCACCAGCATCAAAGGCGTGCTCTGTTTTGGTGAGGCGAGTTCAAAAAAATGGATGTTGACACCAAGCACGGAATATACAAAAAAAAATATCGATATAATGTGTATACATATATATATATAATCATATATATATACATACTTATTTATATAGACTTATTTATATATATATATATACATATATATATACAGGAAGTATCTAATTTGGATTTACGATCATGCCAAACACAATAGGCCAAATAAGATAGACCAAGCTCAGCCAGGAAACGGTATTCCTCATCAGGGTTGCTGCCAACACCCTACAAGGAAGAGAAAATGGCAGGATAAAAAAGTGAAATTACCAATGTTCCCCCCCTTTGTTGCTATCAATTTATGTCAAATGGCTTGGAGAAATCCTAGTAGTAGGTGGTTTTACCAGCCCATAAATAACCCATGTGTATATTATTTATATATAGATAGATAGATATATATATATATATAGATGATCACACCAGGCTCCAGATGCCTGGTACTTGACCCAAGACACTGCGCCGGCTGGGACGGCTCCCACTGCCCGGGCTAAGGTCAGGTCGGCGTTTGGGGGGAAGCACCATTGGGAGCTCGATTATGTCAATGGCTTTGGATGAAGTTTGATGATTGGTCATCATTTTGCCATATTGTTCCAATTAAAAGTGTCGTTTTAGAGTATCTATTAATTTCAGACGCACCCAAATGCACATCAATGACTTAGAAACTAGTTGTGAAGCTTGGTTTGACCTGGCAATTTTTAGGTTTATGGGTCAAACATTGCATGAAAAGGGTGTAGTATGGTGTAGCCATGGTTGAATTGTTTGGAAAATAGGCTAAAACTCAGAGGCTAAAAAAACCTGCTGCGGCTTCACGACAGACCACCCTTGCCCAAGAATTACTGGTGCTGGCGGTGTTCATCACGGAGCGACATAGATAGATATATAGATAGATAGATAGATAGATAGATTAGAATAGATTAGATTAGATTAGATTAGATTAGATTATAGATAGATAGATAGAAGTCGACATAATTAGAAATATAGATATATACGTAATATATATTTATATTACGTATATATTATATATGTATATGTATATGTGATTATATATAGAGAGAGAGAGAGTGGTAAATGTGCATGACTTTGATGTGGAGTTGTCTCAAAAAATTAGACCTAAATCCCATGCGTTATCATCATTTCTCCGTTCACAATTGCCATACATTGGGATATCCACCATTTCAAACCAACCCATTTCCATGGTTCTTCGATGGTTAAATCCCAATAAAATGACGGTAAATGCATGTAAATCCCATGGTTTACCACCGCACCCCCCTTTGTTATTTGATTCCTGGAAATGGTTGAAGTTATTTGTTTGCAGGATACCGCCCCTTGATGGGTAAACCTGCCATGGTTTCCTGTAGATCTTCCCAACTAAACCAATCCGTTGATTGATCATTTCATATTATATCTTGTTGGGTGACAAGTTCCCATGTATGTGCTCCAAATCCCATGATTGAAACAAGTTCAAAACGTCATTATGATTCTGATGGGTGTGACATGGTGTTACTGTATATTCCCCAAATTATAGCCCATTATATCCCCATTATATCCCCATTATATCCCTATTATAGCCTATAGCCTATATAGCCCATGTTCTTTGGTGGCTTCTGGCCAGGAGGCTCCAGCCTTAGAAAGTTCGCCAGCGTTTCTTGACGAAAGAGGGATGGAGAAAGAGGGGCGGCGTTGCGCCCTCCACGTTGTTCACAAAATTTCACAAATCATATGGGAAAAACCGGATGGTTGAAAGAACGGCTGAAGTGGCTACTAGTACAGTATCCTACTGTACTGTATCTCCAATTTGAGGACATTTTGCTGGTTCGACCGCGATCAGAAGTGGGTAAAAGGAGTGACATATGTTGGAAGAGTTGACTGGGAAACCTCATGGAAACCTGAGGGCGGCCAGGCCGAGTCGATATCTTCTGGGTTGTGAATGGAAGGTGAGCTGATTTTTTGACTTAGTAGGAAGCATTGAATAAACATGAATAAACTCAAGATTTTGGAGGGTCAACATTGTTTTGGTGCGGTTAACCGATCAGCCTGGTGGGATAAACTCGACTGGAGTAACTCCCAAAACAATGCGTGAAACGCAACGGACCATGATATGGTGGTTTCCTAAAATGGTGCTACCCCCAAATCATCCAAGTCATTAGGCCATGACATAGTATTGAAACAAACATCGTGACTTGGGGATCCCCCTTGACTTAAGAACCCCCCATATGCTTGGGAAAACGGTTTGGTGCTTGAGAGGAATCACACTATGGAGTATGTTTTTTTATGAGAATCCTCGCCCAGAGCTGGAATCCGCCCTGAGGAAAGCCAAGACTGTGCGAGATTGGGAAGCGGAACAGGAGGCCAATACGGGTGTTGTGGCCTGCTGGAAAACAAAGAAGAATCCCAAGGATGGTGGTTGGAAGATTTTCTGACGGAAATTGAGAAGATTGGGTTTCATGTTCGTTTTCGGGGTGTATGTTTCAGGTGTTGACCCCCCTAAAGGTTGTTCCGTTCGTCCTTCTCTTCGGAATCCAGTGCCGGGCTGTCCCACCGTTTTGGATAACCTACAGTAATCAATGATGGCAATGGGATATTCCCTATAAATGTAAGTTTTAAGGGGAAATTCCTGTGCCGTCTTTGACCGGTCCCAAGTATACCCAACTTGCTGACTGGTTGCTGATTTCAAGCATTTATGGTTTTTAAATCATCTATTAGGAGGGCTTCAAAACGCCACCCGTTCTGCCGACAGGACGAATTTGGTGATCTTCCCCCTATACCTGCTCCGTGGACGACTCAGAAAGGAATCGCTGCGCTGTGGTGGCTCTTGCAACTTAGAAATCCAAGTACTCGATATTAGAAGAGCTTATTTACAGGATATTTGAAATGTTTGGAAATCATTGGACATATTGAGAAATCCCATCCAAATACCTTGGTGGTGTTGAGTATCCATGCATGGAGTTGGTGAGAGATTCTCTGAGATCATAGCCCAAGGTGGATCAGGGTCAAGTCTCGCAAAGACGGCAAGGTCTACTACTGGAACAAGGACCCAGCTGTCCAATGTCATACCAGTATGATTTATCTATATATACATATAATTGTACTTATGTTATATTGTAATATATTATATCATATCAGGTTATATTATATTATATCATACTATATTATATCACATCTTATATTATATCGTATTATACTACATTATGTTGTATCACATATTATATTGTATCATATCATATCATATTATATTATATTATATTATATAAAATTATATGTTGTTGTATTATATCATTTTGCAGTGTATAATATTATATCATGTTCATTTACATCATAGTATAATATAGTACAGTATATCATATTGTAGTATATTATTGTATATTATTGTATATTATTATATATTAGTATATATATTACATTATATGTTTATATTATAATATTATATTATATTAAATCATATTATATTACATTATATTATACTGTATCATATCATATCATATCGTATCATATCATATCATATCATACTATATATAGTATAGTATAGTATAGTGTAGTGTAGTGTAGTGTAGTATTGTATTGTATATTGTATATATGTATATATGTATATATGTATATACAGTCATGCTATGATTCTGTTCAGCTGTGGACTGTGATTCTAGGTTGCTGGCATCGAATGACCAGCATCGAATTGGGTTCTGTTCCGTCAACTCTCAACGTTCAGACGCCGAAAAGTAACTGTGGTTGGTTTCTACACTGGCGGATGTACCCACTATTGCGACAAATGGCCCATAGAGTTTCTTTTGTGTTCTGAGATAGTACTGGTAGAAATAGGAGAAAAGATCTAAAGGTCCATACAGAAACCTAACTTAAATGGTTATTATATATACTGTGCTACATATGTATGTATGACATGTTGCAAAACCATGTAGTTCGCCATATAGCGAACTACAACGTTCGCAACAGTTCTTGCATTTCACGACCGCCTCACTGTGACCTCCTAAGATTGGTCCCCTCTTGAGTGGACACGAGGAAACCAAGCCCGACCTGCTTTTTAAGTGCTTGTACTTTAATTTTGATCCATCATTTTGCCATTTGAAGTAGGTCCATCGCTTGCCATGTGACAGCAAAGCCGATTAGAAACCCTACCAGTACCAGTGAATACCAGTGCTCCAATGTACTTTCATTAGTACTTTCTATTTCTGCGTTTGATGACTGCCGCCAACTGACCATCGCTTAATGACTTCCAGATTCTGGAACCCAAATTTCATCGATTGACTCATGAAAAAAAACAAATTGGTTCTGAAGGGCGGGCAAAATATCCGGAAACATCGGAATTCCCATAGTTCACATAGTTCACTTCGTAAAAATTCGGTAAAAACGGATGGTTTCCTCAACCGATGGAGCCATCACCAGGAGACCCAGAAAGCCTCCTTCAAGCTGCCCACAGAAGAGCCGCCGCCAGCCATGGCGCCACCGGTGGAGCCACCAGTGGAGCCGCTGAACTCGTCGGGACTTCCGCCAGGAGCGATGTGGATGTGATGATGGGATATGAAAGACTGGATACCCTCTGGTAAACTAACATAACTATGGAAAATCACCATTTTTCATGGGTAAATCCACCATAAATGGTCCATTTTCAATAGCTATGTTAAATTACCAGAGGGTATATGATGATTATCGTAATTAATGGATTATAATGGGATTGTTGGATTATGGATAACAACAATAATGGATAAGAATAATGGTATGTAATAACAAATGGAGATTATTATCAGAGTTGAAGATTATGGATAATAATGATCATAATGGATTGGTAATGAACATAATTAATGGATTATAATGGAAAATGATGGATCATTGAGCGAGATAATGGATAATAACCATCTATATATGTCTATAATAATGATAATTGTGTTTATTGTATGATGAGATATAAATGATCATTAACACTACAACGATCATAAACAATCAATAATGATCATATGGATCCACATAAAAAGGCGATATGATCTGGATATAGAATTATATTGTAATGGATCATGATAGCGCATGTAACCAGCAATATGATCATGTTATATCAGTGTGTATGTATATATATATATGATTATGATATGGATCTGCCAATAAAATGGTGGATTGACCCATAAAATGGCCTGCCTTCTATAGAGACAAAAACATGATGAACAAACGTGGATTTGTTCAGAGTTTCCCAAGATTCTCTGAGAAATCCGGGGGACCAAGGTTCTGCCAGAAAACCAGTTGGGTTTAGGGTTTATGGTTTGGGGTTTACCATGGTTTACCATGGTTTACCATGGTTTACCATGGTAAACACCATGGTTTACCACATCACCTGCGGAAACCACGGGTCTCCAAAAAAAGATCTAGTCCTGTGGTCCTGGTTCCATCCTATGGGAGAAACTCACTATTGTGACTTTGAAGCCTGGGAGAATATTGGAATGTTCAAGGATTATTGAGATGTTCATGGATTACCCTCTGGTAATTTAACATAGCTATTGAAAATGACAATTTATAGTGGATTTACCTATTGAAAATGGTGATTTTCCATAGTTATGTTAGTTTACCAGAGGGTAATCCTCCATTTTTCTTTGAAACCAGCTTTTTTTTGGAGGATGGTGGGTGACTCTCTCGGGTGAATCCTTCGGGGGCCAGTGGCCTGGCAGCGCAGGTTGGACACAGCATGTCTCGAAGAGCAATGGGAAGCTTGGCACTGCTGATGGTAAGCTCTTCACATCAACTGATATTTACCCGGTATATTTCGTTTATCTAGTTGTATCTCAAAGAGAAAGGCTGAGATAAGTTGAAGATAGAAGCTTCCAGTTTTGCATGCCAAGTGCACTAATACATTATATGTGTATATATATATGTGTGTGTGTGTGTGCGTGTGTGTGCATCACACATGTGTATATACTGCGTATATATCTATATACTGCGTGGTTTATATTATACACCACATATTATATATATATACATATATATATACCACATCCCATATACTACGAATACATACTAAAAGGTATGCATCCATATCCACTGTCCCAGGAAGATCTACTACTTCCACGAGGTGCGGCGGTACGGACTGACCCCGAGAAGCTGTGCTCCAAATCTGTCCAGTTTCCCAGTCCCAGTTCTAGGCCTTACCCGAGAACAAAGGAAAACCAATGGAAAATCTACGAAAAATCCATGATTTGCTAAGGAAATGATAGGAAATGATCTATAAATATTAGTTTGACCAGTCCAGTCCCCGACTTCCAAGGGGCTCAGTGGCTCAGTGTGGAATCACCGCAGAGGCTACCAACCACTCCCAGTATTTCTATCCGAAGATCAAGTGAGATGCGGCCGAAGTCAAGCTGATTGTCAGACAGACCTTGAGGTTTTTTGGTGGAGTGGTTTAGTGATAGAACGGATAATACTTCTAGCAATTTCTTGCCCATATTCCAGGGCCGAACATATTCCATGCCAAAATAGCTGGGAAATTTCAGGGAATTGCGAAGACCCCTTTCAGGTGAAATTTGTATTTCATACAGTTTGCCAAGTATTCCTTTTCTTCTGGCACGTACGTTGTCGACTGCACATGTTCTTCCCCAAAGAAGATCCTTACTTTCAACAATTTCTGGAAATGTCATAATTAAAAATGTTGAGCTTTCCAAAAATGGATTAATAATGTTCTTATGGAAATTTGTCATCTACACTTTTCACGATCCCAAAACCCAATTCATAAGCTTTAAGCTTATGTTCTGGCACGCTTGGCTGGCCTTTCATCAGCAGCGCCATCCCCATCTTTCTTGACATCTTTGTGGCCCCGCAAAGAGCTCTGCACAACAGGATCTGGGAACACAAATCATCGACGATCCTGTTTTCTTCCGTGCAAAATAATTCCACCGATAGAGTACGATGCCACCCCTGGAGTGAAACTACAGACGTCTCACGCGAAACCGCTACCTTGCCCATATTCCAGAAAACGTGATTCCAGGCGATTTTAGCCAAAAAAAACAAAAACGAAAAAAAAAAAAACAGAAAAAAAGAGAACATCGCCGAGTACGAAGATTTTGTGGAGTGCGAAGATCTTGCAGAGTGCGTGGATTTTACAGTATGTGTACGTCCCTAGCTGTGGAGTGCGATGCCCTCGCTGGAGTGCGAAGAATTTGTGGAATGCGAAGAATTCCGAGTATGCGTGGCTGGTATAGAGACCACATAGGGAAATTTCGGGGCCAGAACCAAAATTCCAATCCCAAAGCCAGCCCAAACTTCCAGGGGCACACCAGTGGGTTCTATTTTTCCGAGTTCACCTTGGGTGAGGTCCCGGGGAAGAAACTTGCTAATTTTTACTCAGCCAACCTTTAAAAACGTTACCTTTGAGACAACCGTGTCCTTCTTCGGTAGACAAGTGAGGAAACTTCCTTATCAAAGCAGCCTTCAATTCATTCAACGTCCACAGCTGCTTTGGAACGACATAGGGGATAGAAAGCTGTGGAGGGGCATTCAGTGGATTCGCCGTGGGCCAACTGTTCCCTCCAGATTGAGCTGAAATGCCTATCAAAGTAACATACCAAAACCCAGGTCTGGAGTACGATGAAAACATGCATGGTATGCGAAGATTTTCTGAATATGGGAATGTTGCCTCTAGAATACTAGTAGAAAATGGCAGTTCTATGATCTTTCAAACATGCACGGAGTTGTATCATATGTCAAGAGATGTTGTATCTTGTGAGCTGTTTTTCATGCTGTCCATGTGGGTATGATTTTGAATGGATTAAATTCAGCAAAAAAAACACAGATTTTGCCATTTTTAAACATTTTTTTCACTCCAATTTTTTGGTGTATCCAAGGACCAAGGACCAAGGACTCCCAGAGGAGGTTTCCAATGGAAACAGGTCTGGCGGTGAAAGCCTGGAGGCTGCGCGCCTCCAGAACTGCGGAGAAAAATATCGATGCCAAGGGCAGTGGCGAAGTTGGGAGAGATTTGGGGGGTTACCCTCCGGTGAAACCATGGGATTTTCGTTAGCGACTTCCATTCGGTTTTTTAGCTCGGGGATGACTGTCAGCTTTGCCACCTTTGATTTTTGGGTAAAAAACGCTGGTAGTTTTTTGGCTCGTCACAAAAAACTGGATCTTGCGGGGATGGGATGACAAACCTTGGCGATGAAAGAAACTGGGATAGGATGGTGATCCAATGTTGGTTTAGGCCCCGATCATGCATACCGATAGCGCCGGAGTGTGTGTGTCACCAGTGTGTGTGCGTTTTTTTTTTCGAAAAGGGACCCTGGTTTAAAGTGATGTTCAACTGTTTATGCAATATCGGAAAACCCTGCACGAACTTCAGTAGCCAGCCAACCCCTGAGCTGTTCCCCCCAGAGGTACTTTGAGACTTGTATCTTGACCAGCGGAATGCAGGAATCACAGGAGTGACCGGGCCGGGACATCTGCGACGCTGGCAGGGTGAAGAACAACCACTGTTCAAAACAGAAACTATGATAAATCCAAATATGAATCCAATATTTAGATGCTATATATATATGTATGATTATTTATGAATATCATTGGATTTGATTTGTTTGCAAAGATTTGCCATGGGATTCATGCAGTGATGTCTGAAATCACTGGTGATGTCAGTTCCAATCAGGGATGGTCTACACCCAAAAGGGATGTCATTTGGCTGTTGATTAGGTGCTGCGGCCCTTTTAGACAGGGACTTCATGGATTTTCATCTGTATAATATATATAGAGAGAGAGATTATACATCATACAAATATATATATATATACATGTGTGTTATATACATAGATTATCATCTATAGAGCATGCTGTAGGCATCGAATGAAATGTGTATGAGCAATGGCTTTATTTGCTGAAATGTATAGTAGTCTTCCGGTGGAAATATATACGTTCGGTTTAAACCCAAAATTAGGTTCAAAACTAGGTTGGTCCGCCCGCCTGAACAAATGAGGTAGGTCAAAGTTGAAAAATTATCTTATATGGAAAACACCAAAACCAATGCGGCATTTAAAAAATAAGTCAGGGAATGGAAAATGTGGTAGGTCCTTCTCCCCTTTTGCAGTAACCTCAAACAACTGCCACTACTCATATGTCAAACATTGCACCTGTTCCTTCAACCGAAACCGATGAATTTGTTCTACAAATCGATCATGGTGGATAGCAGTTCCTTAAGAGCAATATTATCTATGATTGCGATGCCCTGATTTTTCACGGATGGGTTAACCCCCAGAGTTTTGACAATGACTCCGTTTTGTTGTTGGTTCTATCATGTTCTATCCACAGTTCTTTTGTCAATTTCCCTGGTGTTTCCTCGTGATATCGTGTTGTGTCTTGCAGCTAGAATCTCCTCGTAGGTATGGCTCACAAATATGTACCGCCCAAAAATGGATGGTTTAATCCAGACAATGACAATTTCGTGGCTTGATAGCTACCCCATGTTGGTTCGCCATAGCCACATGTTAGGTTGAAACGCCATAGCTACCCTCAAGTTTTTTTCAACCTATGATATTGAAAATCCATGAAGATCAACCGATATTGTAGACCATGTCCTACGAATTTCATGGAAATTCCATAGCTTTTTGTAAACATGTACTGCAGGCAATCAGCTTGCGCAGCATCCCTGGCATGTCCTGGCAGGAAGGACGTTTGGTGATCGATGCATCCTGGGCCATGACTGCGGAAGAGCTACTTGGATGAAGTCCCATTGGTCATATCACTGGAACAGAAAGGGTGATTCAATGGGGATAAAGCGACTGAATTTAATAAGAATAATGAGGTAATAATAGTTAATAATAGCTAAGAATAATTAGTTATAACAGCTCATAATAGTTAATAATAGCTCATAATAGTTAATAATAGCTAAGAAATAAGAAATGCTAATAATAGTTATATAATAATAAGTAATGAATCATTTATAAGTCATTTATAATAGTTACTAATTGTTGGGATAAATCAACCAATCCATTGGATTATCCAGGGGAAGATCACTGGAACACGGAGGATTGAATAGGGATATGATGGGTTACTAGTTCATATGGATAAAACGATCACTAGCAATAGTCCAATAGTTGGTCAATGTTGGTCATGAATGATATCCAACAGTTACAGCAACTCCAAAAGGTCGATAGATCATCGAAATAGCATCCTGGATGGCTACAATATGGATTTAATGTCAACGCGCATGATGTTCCTAAACCAATGTATTAAAGGGGCAAGTCCCAATTTGGAGAGTTGATCACTATTTCACCTTCAAGCCTTGGGTGGATATGGATTTAACCATCAAACACGAGTTTAAGCAACAACATATGGTGTTTCTGCCATCAACAATAGCAACAATAGGGGTAAACCAACAGGATAGGGATATAATATATATATACTAATCAGCTGAAATAGGAATTAAGCTAGCCATGTAAAAATTCCTCATGTTCAAAATGGTTCGTAAATATGAATGTTTCAATACCTTCGCCATTTTTGCCAGAAATGCGTTGGAGCTACAGAATCTGTTCATCGTGTGCCCTATACTCAACCCGTGGACGGCTCGTGAGCCAGGTTTCGAGCGTTACTTCACTTCCTCTACGCAGGAGACGAAATCCTACGCTCGGAGCCCCGGAACGGGTGCTGGGCTGACTGGAGACTTCAACTGGGAAACAGAGGTAAAAATTTCCATGGTTTTTGGGAGTTTTTAAAGCACCTTGAAGTTTCAATGAGGTTGCATCTTGGCCATTGAGATTGCAATTTTGGGGCAAATCAATGCAAATCACCTATTTTTGGAAAAAATAAATGCTTGGCATGACCTCGAGCCATGGTACTACATGAGATTTTGACCAAGGAAAGGATGCTTTCAAGCGTCTGAGGGCATGGGTCAAACATGTACACTCTGGGACCCTGGGACCCACACATTTTCGTCATGTTGTAATTGGCTATCCTATAGTATGTTTGAACAATCCAATCTTGACCCGCACTTAATGGACCACTTGATGAATTCGTGGCCAGGCGTTTGTTCTCCTCTCTTGAATGATAGTTGAATATTGTTGAATATATAATATTAGTATACCAGGGCATTAAACGATATGGAAAACTCTAACTGTCACGACTCCAACATGAATCAACCTATGGAATCAGTATGAACCAACCCGTCGTGGTTCCACGTCTCGAAACTCTTGGGTTCGACAACAGAAAGCTCACATTTTGTGGGTCACCAGTGGGATGATTCATCCAGATGCTTGAAAGGAGGGTGATTCGGATATCGACGAGGCTTAGGATGATTCGATAATATGATTCGGATATTGAGGGTGGTTAGAATCTGGTGGAATGATGGGGAATTGAAAAATGTGAGACCATCTTTCAGAAGTTTACGGTATCGCCGCCCACATCGAGGGTGTTCTGACACCTGGTGACCGAGCAACCGAGAAGCCTGAAGCTAACAATGGAAATCACCATGTTTAGGGGGTAAATTAACGAACTAAATGGCCATTGTTAATAGATTGAATAGCTATGTTAGTTTACCAGAGGGTATATCCCTATAAAATCCCATTAAATCCCTATAAAATCCCATTAAATCCCCTTAAATCCCATTTTTTGGATATGTTTGGTGCATATCTTCTGCATGAGCAGTTTGGTGCAGCGAGGCATATTGGCACCTCACACTGCCATGTACCTGGTGGGGCATCTCAGACGGGAGATGGTCCCGGATGAGTCAGGAATCCCTAAGTGATGGTGGGATGACCATAACATACCATAACCCATCACTAAAAATGGGGAAGATCATGATTGAATCATGCAAAATTGGGATATGATGAGTATATAAACTATATTAAACTATAAAACTGGAAAAACATCTGATTGGTGGTTTGGAACATGACTTTTATGACTTTCCATATATTGAGAAGAATCATCCCAACTGACGAACTCATATTTTTCAGAGGGGTAGGTATACCACCAGCCAGTATGTATATATATATAATTATATATCAACATATCATTATATATCTATGTTTATATACATATATCATATATCCATATTGTGCCATTTTTTGACCATCACACATTAATATGGGTGTGCGAAACAGATGGTTCTGCGACAAGGAGGAGACAAGACACCCCGCAGGTATGGTGGGGGAATGTTGATGTTGACCAAGGGAATCCAGGAGCCAGGCTTTTGACCCCCTGCCCTAAGACATAAAAGCCCAGAAGACCGCCTGGCTGTTGATGTTAGGAGACCAAGGTGTTGAAATATATTCAATATATTCAACGCATTCAAAGTCTAAACATATATATATATGCAGATATATAATACAGTTGGCATAAGTTGCTCCTCTGTCCTTAGACATAAAATGATTGATGATCTCTGCATTTACTACTTGAATTATACATTGGAGAGCTCCCCATTGGGACGCCGCCGACGCAGGTTGATGCCTCATCATTCTATGGCCTGACGAACCACCGCTCGCTGGCTGCAGTGGATGATCGAAGTGTCAATTCTCCAACCCTTGCTGGCTGCTATTCAATGATATTTAATAGTATTTCATAGTTTCATGGCATTTGATCGTATAAGATTGAATGGTATTTAATGGTATTTGATGCTACTGCTATTTTGCGGCTTATTTGACCAGACACAACCAGCTATCCTACCAGTCCTACCAGTGCTTCGGTTCCGCCTTATCGTCCAGTTCTAGAAATCCAAACTGCATCAGTTTGCATCAGTGAATCCGAACTTCACCTATCATCTCTCACTTTATAAATGGATGGGTTTTCTTGGGAAAAGTTGGAAAATCCTTGGTTTCCAGCGTTTCCTGTGAAGATGTTCAGAAAAACAAGTTCCCATCAAGATAGACATCTCACCATCCTTGTCATTCCTAGCATCTATCTCCAGGTCTGAAGCATTTTTGCGAATTGTGCATCAAGGACTCTTTTAACGAGGCACCGAATCCGGCGTTGGGGATTCGGCGGATTTCGGTCAATGAAGCTCCAAAGCTAGGGCAAAATTCGAGACATAACTGATTCTTCAAAATGGGGTAGAACTCTCAATGATTGGGGTGTATGGATAAGATCTATCATTTCTGCGATCACAATTAAGCTGAATCCATGATGGCTGAAGTGAGCTGCGACAAGCTGCACGAAGGATATGAGCCATGGAAAGTTCGTATCCCCATTATACTCGCTGATTGGTATCCCCATGGGCTTTAACAAGCCCCAATAAACCAGGTTCAGAACTCAGAACCTCCTATTTCACGAGAAACCAATGACAAGCCCCAAACTTCTCCCACTCCGGTCATTGATTCATGTCATTTTGGCGGTCATTTTGGCTGTCATTTTGGCGCGCAGACCCACGTCTTGCAGCTCTTTGAAGCATCCAGTCGGCTGGACGTGGAGGGCACTCAGGCCATGGGGACACATAATTTTTGTGGTGTATCCAATTGGTGATGTTAATTGGAAAAATGGGTGGGTATGGGTCAATACCTATAGATACATTTTTAGTGGGATGAACATCCATCAATCCCAGCTATTTTGGGGTTCACTAGGTACCAGGGTTTTGACCCATCCCCAGGTTGTTTAATTTTGTCAAACAGAAAAAATACGAAAACAAAAAATACAACGCATTTTTAAAAGGTACCCGGTACCCGATTTGATGTTGTTTTTCAGATAGACCCATTTAGCGACCTGAGAGCTTGGAAACAGCTGTTCGACCCAAGACGACCTTGGGGATTTGTTGAAGGTTCTTAAAGGGTTTACCGTACATAGTTTTCTGGATCTTGAAGTCCTGAAGCTGGTGGTAGTTTTCAAGACTGGTTGGTGGTTTCAAACATGACGGCGGCCCAACTGACTACTTCTTGGCTGAAAATTGACAACTAGCTTGGGTCCGCAAGCTGCATGTTTAATCTTAACCAGTAAATGTGGTGTTCAATGTTTTCTCATGGGACCAATTGCCTTCGCTGCCCAGTTTCTCGAATTGATTTTATCAAACAGCAGGTTGTAGGCAAGCGGGGACTGCTAATGTATGCAGCCTTTTTGGATCTTCAAGAAGTAATCATGTAGATCTCATGCTTGAGATTGTTTTAGTAGGTGGTTTGATGATGTATATAGGCATGGCTGGATGTGCAGAAGATGAGTCTGAAGGCTTCAAAACCATCCGGGTGACCAGTCAGACGCTGGCTTCTCAACATTCGTAGCTTGGTCTCAAACTGCGGATGCACATGTGCCTTGCTTGAAAAAAGGATAAAATGAATGGGGGGTTCTATAAATGGTGGATCCCCGAATGGGATGGCTAATGGAAAATCCTCTTAAAATGGATGATTTTTGGGTGTACCCCCATTTTAGGAAAGCTCATCCCGCCATGACCAGCTGCCAGGCTGTTCGAAGCATGGCCCTGGATTTCATCATCTCCAACTTCCACACAGTTTGTGCCTAGATGCACATAGCTGGCTGGAATATGGGTATAGACACATTTTTAGTGGGATGAACATCCATCAATCCCAGCTATTTTGGGGTTCACGGCACGGTACCAGGGTTTTGACCCATCCCCATATGGGAGGAATATTGGCTAGAAATTTAGAGAGCTGACCATGCTGATCATGGTGACCATCATGACCATGTTTGCTGGTAAACTCAACAATTGTGCGTGAGTCAAGAGCAAACAAAAGCTGGTTACATTGCTGGTGAACCCCATTTAACTTTGGGTCAAAATTAAAGGATTCAAAAATTGATCAAAATTGGATGTCTCTGTTATACTGAAAATGAGCACTTGTTTGTCGTTTGGCCCTTGGCACCCTAATTTTAACCAAATCCATGATTTTTCCTTGGTGAAATCCTCCTACTGTACGTTTGTTGGTGAAATCCCGTTGAATGAAATTTGGATAAATTCGGATAAATTTGGATAAAATTCTATGAAATCAAATTTGGATAATTCCTATGAAATCCCAATTTCTGTTGGAATTTTATTCCACTGTTGCGCTGTAAAAAAAGGGTGTTGCCATCGTATCTCAGGTCAACAGCCTGCGCTGGAGCAATTGGACAGGTCCTTGCTCATTGAGATCATGAGAGGCGGGGCACGTGGCTGGATGAGAGGAGTGAAATGGGATCATCTACCGAAGAGAATTGAGATATTCATGGGATATTCATGATATTAGTGGGATTGTTCATGGGAATGTTCATTATATAATATTATATATATAATTACTGTATATATATATATTATATTATGTATATATATATTATGTGTATATATATATTATGTATATATATATAATCAACAACATACTTGGGGGATGTCGAAGGGAATTCGTCGTGTCCGAAAGAAAACTGTACTTCACTCATTGTTCATCTGCCCAGGAGTGGCTGATCGTTTGCATCCAAGTCCTCCACAGGTGCAGGTGAGGGGAGCCGCCGTTTTGCTAATGGCCCATAGCTGTCAGCTGCCATAGCTATGATAAATATTGATAAATTACCAGAAGGTATATAGAAAATGGGAAACCTGGGAACATGGTTGGCAAATATCATCGAACATCCTGCTTTCACACTGTTCGGCATCCTTTTCGGGGGTGTTTTTTGTGCTTCAAGTATGAGGAATTATTGCAATTTGCCGAGATGGGTCCAGAGTCAAAGCTATTTCCGTGTGAACAGCAGGGTACTAGGCTTTGAACGTATGCAGATGTTTCCATAATATAGACATCATCTCCAGCCTCACATTTGTTTTAAGGGTTGACGTTTAAGTTCATTGCTGTTGAATTTCGGACAAAATCTAGTACAAGTATAGCAACCTGACAACCACCTCACAGTGATAGGTATCACATGGTATCACTAGGGCAGCCGCTGGGAATTCCTTGCCCAGACTGTCCAGCTGACATGAGCGCAAAGTGGAAATGTCGCGCCATGACGCGCCTTTGTGGCCGAGGTAGGGGTATCTGCTTCAGGTACTGCCAATGGAATATCACTGGTTGGTGGTTTTGAACCATGGACTTTTATGACTGTCCATATATTGGGAATGTCATCATCCCAACTGACGAACTCCATGATTTTTCAGAGGGGTAGGTCAACCACCAACCAGATCAGCAAGTTGATAATTTATGGATGGATTTACCTGTTAAGAATGGGATTTTGCATAGCCAGGTTACATGATCGGATGGTACTCAGCACAACATGATGTAAACAAGGTCCTATTCAGAAGACTTCTCAGGACACACCGGCGGCAGGGTAGCCATTGGGGACCCATGGTGATTCCATATGGTATCTATACGTTACCCATCTAGATGAATTATAAATGGTATACCTATCTCAATTCACCTTATGGTATATCTCTATATATGGTATAAATCAAGTTTATAGATGAATTACCTTTGTATACATTTACGCCGGCGTACTGTGTTGGAAATGGTGTGTTTGATTGCCATGTTGAATATCCAGAGTTAAATCAGTCGGTGCCAAGGCAGTCGAGTTCTACCCAAGGGACCGCTGTAGCACAATTGTTATCCAAATTGGTCCGTACCCCAAATGTGATCAGGTCATTAGGTTGTTGTTCCCGCCACTTCTTCCGCAATGGGGCAAGAGAAATGCGTAGGTCAGGAACTGTTGGCCCAGCATTGTTCCCATTTTGGCTGCTTAAATCCTCAGTTCTACCAGGAAAAACATGGAAAAACGGTTGATTATTGCAATCCCATTTGCAAAAAAAAAGGAAAAAACAAATTGTTTTGATTGAGAGTTTGCCAAAAGCTCAAACCCACCCCGACCTTCCAAGGGGAGGTAAGACCGTCTACTGCTGGAGGTTGTGACTCACCAAGTGAATCACCACCCATGAGGGGGCCAACAGAACCGGTTAGGGCACGATGGCACCAACGGTTTATGGAATCCTATGGAAGTCACTGAAATTCATAAGATGTCTATCTTAATGGATTGGTTTCTGGGATTTTTTACAGAAAACCACAGAAACCATTGTTTTTATATACTGCAACTGTTTTGTAAAACCACTTCTGGGACTATCCGGCGGTTAGGAGGGAACGGTGCGAAGCTATGCTTATCCGTATTCTCAAAAAACAAAATCGGGAGCGAAGGAGCTACTAAGAATTTCCCAACCACATGATAGGATTATTGTATGGAAATGGGATTGTAATGGAGTCTACAAGAGTTTTTGTTGTTCCAAATTCACTAGGAAGAATGGAGATTTGATATGACACAAGTGGTAATACCCTCCAGCTTCATCTGAGATGGCAGGCTGGATAGGCTGGATAGTGATGTTGATTTATATATCATTATATCTATATATATATAACTATTTGATAGATTATAAAGTTAAATGATGAAATTAGAAATGGATTATAACTATTTGATAGGTTATAAGTTAAATGAGTAAATTAGAAATGGATATGTCAGATATGTTATGGAAATGCTACCGTAGGGTCATATGAGTCATATGCTTCATTTTCTTCGCAATGAAAATGCATGACGAACGAAAGGATCCTGGTTTCACTACAGATCCACTGCTTAGTTTTGTATCAGAAAGCTGCATTGGTTGAATATTGAAATGGGTTTGTCTGAAAATAGGCTATATTCCCAATGAAATAGCCGCTATAGCCATTTCATAGGGATAATGATCAGCAAAACCATTGGGTTTAGGGGTACACAACATTTTCAGACACCCGAATGGCACTTGCCCTTTCTGGACGAGTCATGGAAAGCCAGAACTGATACTGATTTCGTTGCGCCATCATGGGAATATCAGCTCAGACTCAGATAAAATTGCATCAGCTGGTGCTTCTGACATCTTCTGACAACTATTCTATATATGACTGGTTGGTGGTTTTTATTTTCCATAATATATGGTTAAAACATGTTAAAACCACCAACCAGATGAATTTATATCATTTTTGAAGGGCTCAAAGCCCCGCTGAAGTCGGAAGTGCCAGAAGACTAGGAGACGGTCTCACCAGCGATGGGCGAGACGAAAAATCACCAGGTCCGAGGGATAACTTTGCAACATATATACATCAATGATTTGTAGAAGAACACAATACATCAAGTATACATCATAACTATACATCATAATACATCAAGTATACATCATAATACATCATGATACATCATAATACATCATAATACATATAAGAAATCTTAAATATCAGCTTTAAAGGCATGCTTGATTCCAAGCTAGTTCAATCGCATGGGCGCTTGTCCTGGGCGACCCGGACATACTGACGACGTTCAGATCTTGCTGGTGCTTCGAAATGGGCTTGTCTGAAAAACTGGGAAAACTGCCTGAAAGTCAGCGAAACTCCATAACACCAGTGGCTAATCATCATTTTCCCATATTTTCCCCATTGTTTGATGTCAATTTTGGGTTATACCATGGTATACTCAAGCTTCCGACACCCAAATGCCGCGTTTTTGTCGTTGTTTTTTTCATGGGAGCCTCCGGGGGCCGCAGAGCCCTGTGTCTCTGGCCCAGCACTGGCAACGGGGCGAATACACGCGGTTTCAACGTGTCAAAGATCGTCAACTTCTCAGTGGCCCTGGGGGATCGCAGCGAAAAAAGATGTCTAGCAATTGGGGGTTAGTACTACAACTATATGGATCTATATGGGGTATTCCACTCAGACCATGTGTCATGATTTCTGAAAAAGACATTTAAGACATAAATGTTACAAAATGGGTCCCCATTTTCTCCATTGCGTCAGAGCCTGTCAGAGCCCTACCTGCATTGCAGAAAAACATATTACACAGTCATATCCGAAGTGAGGCTTGAGGCACAATATGTCCAGGCAAGGTGTATGCCTAGTTTGAATGAGTTGTTCATCACTTACTCTGCATCACCAACGCAAGTGGCACTTGACATTCATGTTGTCATGGACATGTGTAAATAGTGGAGCTAACTTGTAGCTAACTCTTGTGACAGTCGTAACGGGGTTAATCTTGCGTACCCTCCAAGAAAACGAATGATGGGATGTCGTTAAGAGTGATGATAGGCAAGTTGTGAGTACCATGGGTTGGGTTTTGACTTGCGACCATACCATATCTATCCATATCTCATTTACTATAGATTATAGATTGTTTCCCTGATGCTCAATCTGAACTTGGTTTTGTTGGCATTGTTGGCTAGTCTTTGTTTCTGTTTCATTGCGATTAATATCTACATACAGCCAGCTAGTTGCCCCTTTCATATGGGTTTGTCCGAAAACGAGGCCATTTTTTCCCATTTGAACGGCTATGTCATGGGTCAATCAGTCAATCCTAACCATTTTCCGAGAGATGCATAGTTGGATATAGTTAGTTATGCAGCATATATATATATACACATACACACATACATATGGTCCCGTCCTCCGTCCCTCCCCCCAAAGGGTTGGGTAAACCCCCCACACACCCCCCCACATTAAACACTACGACCCTGCCCTCCCCTTGACCTGCCCCTCACCTGCACCTACCCTCCTGATCCCAAGCAATGCCCGTACCAATCTAATCTTGCTTTGTGATACTCGTTGTACTTGCTATGCTGCTTAAAAAATAAGATCCCTACGTACCAACTACTGTACTATCTTACATATTACCTGCAAACTATCATCTATTGCATGCCTATTTGCAGCCTATTGCTGATAGCATACCTATATACCTAAGACTATATAATATACCAAATACGCAACCTTTACAACCTAATATGAATATATATATATACACATACATACTATATAAACCATTGATGCCTATATACAACCTATATATTGCTTATATCGTACCAATATAGCTAACACTATATACCATATACATATATATATATATGATTATATATATATGCCTACATACCTAACACTATATACCATATACTATTCGCCTACACACCTACCACACATATAAACCGTGTGTACGGTTATACCCAATTTATTAAACATATGTATATATATGTGTGTTATTGTATATCGTACATATTAAACATATGTGTATATATATAGCATACAAATAGAAAACGCATGTGTATATTTACACACATATCATATACATATAACATATTGATATATAACATATACATATAACATATACATATAACATATACTATATGTACCTAGCACTTCATATATACCTGACACTACACAACTAATATATACCTGTTACTGTATAACCTAGTATATACCGTACCTGTTATAACCTAATACATACCTAATGTATTGCAGCATGCCTATATACCTATATTATATACCACACTATGTAGCTCCCAATATACCTCACAATATATCTGTTGACTACCAATTTACAAAACTACTACCCCCACCGCCCCACCACCACAGCCACTACCACAAGAGGGAAAGGGGGGTTCCCAGGGCGGATGGAGGGGGGTGATAGGGCCTGGTGTACAGCTATATGGCTATGTATATACGTATATATATAATATACACTTATAATATGTATATATATATACATCTAGAAATATATATATATACAATATATGTAGAAATATATATATATATAAATATATATATATACAGATATCTATATATATATAACTATATACATAACTATATATAACTATATAATGTAAATGTTAAATATCCCCATGAATTTCTCCAGGATTTTTTCCCCATTGACATCATGAAACCATTGACAGCTCGCGACGAGGTCCTGCTGGCCTGGTGACGCAATGTATACAGCATCCCCATACACTGGACAGGTGACCTTTGCGCGACTTGGAGGCTGTTGACGACGTGATATATATATATATATATGATATGGATTATTTACCTATTAAAAATTGTGATTGTCCATAGTTATGTTAGTTTACCAGCAGCTTACCATCACTCAGACTCGGAAAACCGCCCGATCCAAACAGGAAAGTCTTATCTTTCAACCCCCGATTCATGGCAAGGTGGGTTTCTTGCTGCGCAGGATATCACCCAATTGTTCATCAATAGCTATTGGTTATGCAATAATCGCAGAAACATGTACCGTACTCATGTATTTGTATGTATTTGTTCAATCTGGATTATCGGTGTGTTGATTAAATCCACACTAAACCCCCACTAACTCCCAATTGATGTGCATAACATCTGATGAAATCACAAAGTTAAATAGTAAAATCCCACAAAATCCCATGAAATCACCATTAAATCCCCTTTTGATCACCATAAAATCAAGATAAAATGATGGTTTAATCTTCTTAAATCCATGCCAGGTGTCGAGCCTGCCCAATGTGGCACTGGGTGGGGAGGTGCCAAATTGTGGATATAGCAACGCCAAAAAAAAGAAAAGTATAGAGAAATAATATGATGTATCACTATCTTTTAGTAGGATTATGATGTATCACTATTTTTACTAGGATGTCACTGTGCTATGTTTTGGAGGGTCAGTATAGTTCGGACAGCTGATAATTGGGCGAGATCTCCCGAGAATGAGCCACGAATTGCTGGAAGGAATGTGTGGGAAGATGTTCTATCTTTATAGATTTTATAGTAACCCCCAAAATAGATAGAAAAATAATTGGTCACTATATTTTATTGGGAAATTATTTTTCTATTTGTTGGGGTTGCTACCTAAAATGACAAGAAGCTATCGGCTAAGATGGGGGCATCATACCGCGGAAAGATCATAAGCACCAGTGGGTAACTATGAAACCTTGTGGATTTTTTGGGATAAACCTGATAAACCATGATATAAACCATGATAAAACATCTACCAACTAGTGCAGGATGAAATGTCAGTTCACCGTGTGGTGAATTGATTGGGGCAGATACGTGGGATAATGGTGGTATAGTGGAATATACATACTGTCAGGAAACTGACATAGAATATGGAAAATCCATGGTTTCCAAAGGAAATATATAATCTACAAATAAAGGATTGGTTTTCCATATCAATGTGATTTTTTGTTGGATGGCAACATGACCTCAAAACTCACTATCAAATATGAGATGCGGCTTTATTTGAATGATGTGAATCCCAAAATGGGGAGGGACTCTCCTGGTCAGTGGAATCATAGATGCTGTCAGGGTCAGTCTGTCGGAAGGGAAAAAAGATCCCTGGTTCTGCAAACTCAAGCATATAAGCTGGTGCTATACACTATATATATAAATATAAATTGTATATATATATATATATATGTACATATATACACATACATTATATTTATATATATACATTATATTTATATATATATATATACATTATATATATACACATTATATATACACACACATATGTGCATTGTGCTACATAGATACATAGATACATGTTCATATATGCATGTATATCTATCTATCTATCTATCTATCTATGTATACATAATATATATATATATACACATGTACATATATATATACAAAACAACACATAGATATATATGTATATATACACATATCAATGTATATCAATGTAACTACATGCAGAACATGCATACGCTTGCCATTGCCGCGAATCTGTGATTGTCCTCAGGCTAGCTCATTCTACACCGGCCCTAGTGTGCAGACCTATGCCAGCCCGGCAGGCTCGGATCGGTCGGCCATCGGTGGATTTCACCATGAGAATGTCTTCCATATGGTGGGGAAACCCAAAATAGCTGGATGGTCTATTTCATGGAACATCCTATTAAAATTGATGATTTGGGGTACCCCTATTTTCAGGAAACTCCCATATTGTGGTGCATGTTCTTGTCCGGAAATGATATGATCTGCACATAAACATGTGCAGAATACGGAAAAAAAAGTGAAAAAATACTTAGGTTATATACATTAAATTGATCATATAGTGGTTCGCAAGTGGGTAATAAACCATATCTGTATATGTATACGTAGAGAAATGGGCTATATCCGGAAAAAAATGGAAAAAATACGTTGGTTGTTTTATGTGCCCATGACTCACTTAGCAGCTGGGATGCACACCCAAGTGGGGAACCCAAAGAACGGAAGGAATTTCACCCATAAGAACGGAATACTATGCGGATCTATGCGGATTTAATCAACAAAATACTTTAAACATAGGCCGCAAGCCCTTCTGCCAGCACCAAGTCCATGGCAGGCGTCTATGGCGGTGCCCCCATAGCCGGTGGTGCATATTCTGGCGGCACTTTGACCGCAGGTGCCTACACCGGTGGTACCCTAGCAGCTGGCTCCTACACAGGTGGCACCAGCGCTTTGTCTGGTGCCTACACGGGTGGCACAAGTGCCTTAGCTGGTGCCTACACCCCTGGCACCCTTGCGGGAGGTACCTACAGCCCCAGCAGCGGTGCATACACCGGTGCAGTTGTTGGTGGAACAAGTTACACCGGTGGTACTGTAGCTGGTGCTGCCTATACCCCTGGCACCATTTCCAGTGGTCTTGCATATACCCCGGGATCCATCTCGGGCGGCGTGACCACAGTGTCCGGTGGCAACTACAGCAGTGCACCCGCTTATGGCAGCATGTCTGAATGGCTGGTGTCGACGGGGATTGGGCAGATTTTTGGGGAAGAGCAGAGCAGTTCAGAATAAGTGCAATGTGAGACTTGGGGTGTTCTCACTTGTAATAGCGGTTCCGAAAGAGTCAAGTCGCGTGCAAGTTCCATCACTTTTCTTTGCAGAGTGATGCTACTGTCTTCAGTGTCGTTGCAGTTTTGGGGTTCCGGAAATCTGCGACCTGGGATTTCTCACTACCTCCAAACCATCAAAATCCTGAAGCAGACCCGTGTTTCGCCTGGCTTCATGAGGTACTGGCACTGGTAGCTTTAGCATTGCACCAGCCAACACTTATGGTGGCTACTACGGTGCTGGTACCTACAGCAGTCTGGTCGCTCAGGGAGATTTGCACATGATCGCACATGATTTGAGGGATCATATGCTCAGGCCCCCCTGCAGAGGCGCAAGGCGCAAGCAGTGCCTCTTTCACTGTGTGGAGGCCCAGTGCTGTTTGGTTTTGTTCTCATTGTTGACCTGCTTATGCCATCTTCCCAACCTACAATTGGCTGGAATGTCTGCGGGCACTTGTTCTAGCCAACACATTCATGCAGTGAGTTTCTGCACGATTTCGGTGCCATGGCCATGTTTGTTGTGCCCGTGTTCTTCGTCATGAAAGTTCCCATTGTGGTGAGATCCAGGGCTTGTGAAATTCTCAGGTTCCACCCATGGGCCAGGACCGGATGATCATAGCCCACAAGATCCCCACACAAATGGGGACAATCAACAAAGACTTTGGGATTAAAAACCCGAAAATAAATGGATTTGACCAGCGAACCTTGGGTTTTACCAGCGCCAATTTGAATTTGACCGGCAAAACACAACAAACAACAATGATCAAGAATTGGTGTGTAGCAGTGTAGCCGATGATGGCAATTCGTTGGGTTGCAATTTGTATGGCGTGGGGTTATCGCACTGATGGAAACCCTCAAATCTTAAACAAATCATCTGGGACAGGGTTTTGGCAACAACAGCTCTTGCAGGCCATTCAACTCGTTCTGAATCTGTAGGTTGGTTGAATTGGTTGGTGACTTTCTCACAATTGCAAGCAAAAAAGGCATGAAACTTAGTGGGTAGCCAAGGACCTGCACCATAACTTCACTGGCCGACTTCAACATAAATGGAAAAAGAAAATGGAATCATTCCGGAAAAAGAAAATCGAGGAGCACATAGCATATTTCATCATATTTCCAGTGCATTTCCAGCACAGTAGTTCTTAAAGTGTGCATAATTTGATATGTTTCGAACAGAAATTTGCATGTGATAAACCATGAAAATTGCACAGAAGTATGTCCTCCTGTACACTAACATCCAAGACCTTGCACGTGGCAGGACCCATACAGTGGCACGTTGGGACTCAGTGGCGATCTGGTCTGGGGTCAACTACGATGGGGATTTTAGATGGAAAAAAACTGCCAATCAACTATCTACTATGATGATCTATGATGACTATCTACAAATATCAAATGCCATTGATGACTATATCAATGGCTATCTACTAATATGCAAACTGATCAACTATCATCAACATTCATCAACTATCTATCTACTATGTATCTACTATGATGACTTGATCAACTATCAATCCAATGTTGCAATTAAATGTACTATTAGATTCGATCATGATCAACTATGATGACTATGACTATGATGTATACCAATCCAATGTTCATGATTTGAATCAAGGCCTTGACTCTGTGATTTAGTTGGCATGATCTCATGGGGAGATGGGGCATTTCACAGGATGCAACCTGGCTGGTTGCCACTGGTTGCTGCTTCAGTTCTTTGTTTTGGTTATGTGTTGTTCCATAAACCCCCTTGGGTTTCAATTTGATATCCAGTTACCATCTGGCTATTTAACATAGCCATGGAAATTCACCATTTTTAATAGGTAAACCATCTATAACCAGAGGGTAGTGGAAATCTTCTCACCACAGATGTGGCGTCCAGTTAGGGCGGCACTCCCGACGACGAATTCCATGCTGCTGAATCCCTTAAATCCTTTGCAGCACCTTGGCAGCGGCGGGCACCGGTCACGAGGATGTGGTCACAAAAAGGGACATTTTCTCACGGTAAAAATAGATGTTTTATGACTGGGATATCTCTGGGAAAATTCCTGACAAACAGGTAGAAACTCTGAAGAGATATGTTCAGACTGATTGAAACTGACCATGCAGTTTTAGGATATATTTGTTTTTTCGCTATGGTCCTTTGAGGCCATGGGGTAGAGTGATGTTTTGCTCTTGGCTAAAACCAATTAGCAACTTTTTATCATGATGAGTTAAGTCGCTTGTTTGGACGGTCATCAATAACGGGTTCGTCTTTGTTGTTGAGCAGATTTTGGACGTGCACGATTCCAAATTGATCCGCATGAGAAACACAGTTCCTCAGGCACACTGGTGATACAACACGTGCCCCCTTTTTCCAAGACATTTTGATTATTTGGTTGTTTGCAGGCAGTGTATAGTGTGACGAGCCCAAGAATCAAACATGCCTATGTTTACTCTATATACTTATTTTTAATCTATAAAGGTTCAAAAACTTGGGGCTTTCCATCAGTACCTGTCCTGCTGTCCTTACAGCTACATGGTTGCTGTCGGTTCACCATCCGCCACTTTATGAAATCCAACCTAGACCTGGAAATTCTTCATCACTAGCCCATGGGGTTATGTACTGCAAATTGAAAAATACCCTCTTGATGTTGATGACATGCCTGAAATATCCGTATGTTGTGCGTCAAGTGTGAATCGTGGCAAACACCTTCTTTTTGTTGCTGATGATATCCTATGATGTACCATTCAATTCTTGTGTTGTAATGTGTAGAGACCCGTGCTTACTCTTGAAAGATATACATGTATCAGGTAAACCAGCCAATCCGATTTCCATAGATTTCCTACATCAGAGTCTGGTAGTCGCCCACTTCCCAGGTCGGCCCCTTCGATGATCGCCTACAACTCAGGGCTTTCTGGTGGCTTCGGCACCGGCCTCGGGCTAGGGTGCCCAAGGAGTGGACTGTGTAGGAATGGTGTTTGATCCATTTTGATGTTTCTGGGGCTGGTACCATGGTTTAGCTATGTTTAAAAATGGTTGACCTATGGTTTACCTATAGGTTTACCTATAGGTTTACCATGGTTTATCTGACCTATCGTTTTTCTTCCGGAGCTTTCAGCATGGCTGATGGTCTCAGTTCCCCCTGCTGGCTGCACCTGAACCTTCTCTGAGGCGCGGCCAAACACCACAAATGATGTGTGGGAAAGGGAGAATTAGGGGAGTCATGCCAAGAATGGAATTTCTTTACTTTGCACTGCTTTGTACATATACAGTATACATACATGTGTGTATATAATATATATATATGTGTATATATATGTATATATATATGTATATATATATATGTATATATATATATGTATATATATATATGCACATATATTATATGCCCGTATTCCCTATGAAAATTTGCTGATCAAACCATTATCTCATTTTTCGTCTCCAGCTAGTTACAGCTAGCTATGCCAAGAAAAGAAAGGTATCATTTCCCCATTTTTCCTCAATAAAATCATCACTTGCCGTTACGGAAACTCCGTACTCAGGTACTCCTCTGCAATGGACGGCCCCCGGGCTCAGAGCAGTAAAGCTGGATTTCGAAGGTTCTAAAATGATCCAAAATGGTAAAGTACTGTATCTAGTGTTGCATCTTATCTGGGTATGGATCAATACCTATTAATAGCATTTTTAGGGGAATGAACATCCCACCAGCTATTTTGATGTGAACTACAGGGGTACTATTGGTTTTGACACACTGCCATCTGTGAATCCATGGAAATATGATCAGTTGATAACCCCTTTTTGGAATATCTACATGGCTATCCACATGGCTGTACCTCAAGTGACAAATGATGGGTGGATACAACCAGCCACAGTCAATGGTCTTGGGCAGCCACTTTTGACCCATTGCCATAGAAATGTATAATAGTAATTTCATCCATTTACCATATATACATCTATATCACATACACATACATGTATTGATATACAAACTATATATATATATATACATAGTATATACCTAGTATACACATAATATATACATAGTATGTACATAGTATATACATAGTTTATACATAGTTTATACATAGTATATAGATATAGTAATGGATTCTGCTGGACTTGGCTTCACACTAGTACTGTACACTTTGAACTTTCGGTTCCTTGGTATGTTTCGGCCATGGGGGATGCCAGTATTTTCCATTGAAAATTCTGCCCCTGATGGGGTACAATCATAGTTGCCATAGAAGTACTCATAACATTGAACTATTTTTATGTACTATTTATATCTATTTTTTATCTATTCATATCTATTTATCACTGTATCACTCTTATTTCCATTGTGTTTTTTTCGTTGCCCCGCCGTTCGATCAGCACACCAATGATTAATCGCACGCGTTCGAAGTCGAGGCCCCTTCAAGTTCTACGCCACTCCACCTGGAAAGCTTCCAGAAGAGCCACGTCGACCCCCCAGGGGGCCCCAGTCATCGAAGACTTGTCGTTTTGTTGGCTTTCCAGTCATCAGAATGCGACTAAGTCTGTTTGCAGAAGCCCACCTTTATTCATCATTTTACAATATTTTACATACTCCCAAAATTGTCAATGTGCAGTACTTATCTAAGTTTTTAAGCCTGCCCTTTGGGCTTACAAGGCCACTAATCGGTGGCATGCTCATGTAGCTGCAAGACGAATCTGATGTTCGTTTTAAAATTTGCGTTTAGAGTTGAGGGTTTCTGTGTTTCCCCTGTTTTTGGTAGTACAGCAATTGAATCTACTGGTTGAATCCCAAATTTCATGATGCTTTGAAAGAAGTTTCCCAGTTGGCAAGATTATCATCGACGAGAACCATCTTTCCCCTCATCCGCCTAAACCAAACCTGATCTCTGATTGTTTTTTTGAAACCATGTGTGTGTGTGTATGTCTGTAATGTAATGCAACGTAACGTAACGTAAGGTAACGTAATGTAAGGCAATGCAATGCAATGCAATGCAAGTAATGTATGTACGTACACATATTGTGTATAAAGTTATATAAATATGTATTTTATATATATATATATATATATGCATATTTATTTAGGATATTTATGTACACGTAGTTTCTCTTTTTTCAGCCCACTATCAGTCAGGTCCCAGCAAAACGGACGATGCCGCGCAAACTGGTTTCTCCCTACGTGCAGGTCGAAGTTTGGGATGACTGGGAGGTTTCAGCAAGAAAAATTTAGGTTTCAATGGGAAAACCATAGGAAAACCATAGAAAATATGGGAAATATGCTGTATGGAGGTTTCTAGCTGGGAAAATTCTGGAATGAAATGGGGCATTTTCCAGCAACCCCATCTTTGATTACCAGAGGGTACATCCAAGACCCCCAAAATTAGGTAAAGTATGGGAGCTTTACATAGTTGACCAATGCTGACCGTACCAAATGTCTTTTAAAGATCACCAAGTTCCAAAAAATAAAAGGGCTACGTCTACCCAGTAAGATCACCGACAAGATGTCCATATAGATGGCCTGTCACCATATTCCGTATTGGATGGGGAGCTAAGATGAGCTAAGGAAGAATAGTTTCCCAACATTTCCCAATTTCCCAACCTTACTTTTTAGTTTCTTTGTCAAGATGGAGCTAGACCGATCCTATACTCGAGGCGTCTCAAGTGAGCCAAGAGAAGACGCGGAAAGCAGCGTGGAACCCGGTCAAATCTTGGCCCCGTCAGCCTGGGAATAGGACCATCAATATCCATCAATTACCCTTTGGTAAACTAACATAACTATGGAAGATCACCATTTTAATGAGTAAATCAACTATAAATTGCCATTTTCAATAGGTATGTTAGTATGTTAGTTTACCAGAGGGTACCTTACAAATTGGCAGATAAAGCCAGCGATTCATCGTTTTTTGGTCGTTTTGTCTATGGAAAAATGTGGTGGAAAATCACCGCCATGGAGATGGCGACATGGCACGATGGTACGGCCCAGGCAGTAAGAAGTCGGGGAAAAAGCACGCATCGAAAAAGAAGAAAAGCAGCGGTTTGGAACCACAGAACGGGATTCTTCAAAGACGGTGTGTTTGTTCTGCTGGGGAGTCAGGAGGGAGGAAAAAACATAGCAGACATTAGCATACTATAAATAGAATTAAATAGATATATATATATATAGTTATATACATAACATATATATATATATACATAACATATATATATATACATAACATATATATATATACATAACATATATAACATATATATATATATATTGATTGATATTCAATCATATTCATTGATGATCCAATCTGGCTAGTGGTATTCCATTGGAGACCGTGCGTCTGAAGCTGTTGAAAGCGTTCATGTTGCACCAGTAGTTCAATCCCAACATTAAACACCCCTCATCCACCATGGTCTGTGTGTTGTTTATCCCCCACATCTGCTCACTGGATGAACTTCCAATTCACCGGCTTTTTTTGCAGCTGCAAAAGCAGGTTGTTGCTGAATTGCTGGGACCGTTGCATTCTACTTGTGGCGCTGGTGCCATGAAGCCCATATTCCAGGAATGGATTTGATTTGGATTTTTGTGCAGCTTGGTATTGAAAGTTTGTTGTGGGAATAGAAGTACCAGTTCTGGAGCAAAATATTCGATAATATTGGAATGAGTTGGACGGCCTATTTGGGGAAAAACACATGATCTTGAAGTATGGAAATATTGACATATATAAGCTCTACAAACATGATGAAATATATATATATATATTGTCAATGATATTCAATGATAATGTACATATATATATATATATGTACATTATATATATATACTATACACACACGCATGTACAATACCTGGCTAGTATGGATATTCACTGTATCCAGGTCTTTCGGGCTTTATTGGCAGTCAGTTGCCCACGAAAATGTGCGCTTTCTTCAGCGCGTGAATGCATGCTATTGTCATTTGAGAATCTAGAAAGATGCCACAGCCACAGAGATTTTCACATCAGAATATGCTACTTGTAGATGAAAAACTGGATTATGCCAGAGGCCCGGTGCATGATCTGTGCCTGTTGTTGGAAATAAATGCACTCAACATCTACCAGGTAATGCTATGTATATTATATCTATATACACATACATTTGTATATATGCAGGCATGTTGACATCGCCATCATGGAAATTTGTGTTCCCCGTAGGGACACCTTTTTTGGAGGCACACTCATTTTGTAGATGCGCTGATTGTAAGTAAAACCTTTTTGTAGGCATTTGAGCGGCCATCCCTACAAAAAGGCAGCTCCCGACCCCTCGACGTCAAATTCACAGGAGGATACATATAGTGTATCCTGTATATTACATATATATATATACATATATATATATGTATATCATGTAGTATGTATATGTATGTGTATATATATATACAGCATACATGTAGTATGTATGTGTGTATATATATATATAGTTGTGATTATTTTTACTATTATTAGGATTGTTATTATTTTTGGTATTATTATTAATAATTATATAGTATTATTATTATTATTGTTGTTATTGTTGTTATTATATATATATATTATATATATAATGTATAGTATATGTCTGGAAACTGTGTTCACTCAGGAACCAACAATTTAACTGGGAACTTGAAAATGAACAACGGGATTCCTAGATACCTCGTTTTTCTCCCTTTCTTGGGCTATTTTTTGGGGGGGGCAAAACATGACAAAGCCATACACATGCCATCTATGTGCATCTTTTGCTTCTTACAATTTGTCTTGTTGCTCCACTGTTTTTTCTCTGGCATTAGCTACGCCTCGCAGCTGACGGACTTTCGGCGGTAGGCCAAGGGCAAAGGTCCGTGCCCGTATCATTTGGCAGAAACATGCAGAAACACGTCATCGTGTGCAAGGGTCAATGATCAAAGGTGAAAAAAATTGGCTGGGAAGGCTCTACTGGACGGTTGTCCCTAGTTGTGATGAGAAAGAAGAATGTACCTGAGATTGTGTGTTTTGCCCATTCTGCTGATGAATACCTGCACTTGATCAAAGTGTTGGGTTTAACCAAGAAGCACTTTGTTGTTTCTCAACTTTGGTCTCTGTTGCAACATGGGCGGGTTTTTTGCCTACTAGTTTCAATGGGATATTAGCTAGGCAGAGTCAGAGGGAGGGATCTGTTCCTTTGGATCCATACAAGAGGACTAAAACAATGACAGTAGCAATGGGGTTTTTAAAAAGTACTGTACCCCCAATCTAAAAATATCTAAAATGGGTCTCATGGTTGTCTCGTTTTTAATTGGCAATGCGGGCATACACCAGAAAATCCACTGGGAATATCCCGGAAGGCGTCTTGAGGTGTGGACAGAGCATTGCAGCAGTGCGACCAACACTCCCAGCTAATGGATGTCTACGCAAACAAACTGTTTTATGCTTTCAGATATTCCATGCCAACGAATATCAAACTCCCCCCCTGTGGGCCCCGAAAAGGAACAGTTCCAATTCCAATCCACGTTTCTGGAAGGTATTCTATGTTGAGAGAAGGAATTACATATTTATCAAGTGTGATGTGGATTGCTTTGATAATGTAGTATATCACGTATAGATAATATTAAACAACTAAATTAATCTAAATTATCTATTTGGAATATAGACACTGGCAACCGATGCTGTGGTTGGCATACTAGTAATATTGGGATAGTGGTAAACTTGAGATGACCAGCTGTGGAAAGCGCCGGTGGCTCAAGGACTTCTCTGTGGTGAAAAGACCAACTGAAGGAAAGACAGCTCCACCAATCCACCAAAACAGCTCCAGTCACTGAACAACCTGGTTCATTTTGCTTTATCCACAAATTCACAAGGCGTGGATACTGTCACTACATACTGTTGGCATATCAGTCATTGTTCACATTGTCTTTCCATATCCAGACACAGGATGCCTTGCCACAATATCTGAAGACTTCGTCATGGAGTTAGAAGTCCTGAGCGTCCAGGGGGCGAAGCCCGACCAGGCCAGACCCCGACCCCACTGCGTTTTGTGGCTGTTCTGGTCAGGTCAAAGTGGGGTATACTTAGCCAGGCAAAATGGAGTGAAACATGGGTACCGCTAAATGGTGCTAAATGGAAAATCCATGAAAATCCGATTAAAATTGATGATTTAGGGGTACCCCCATTTTAGGACCTTATGGATGTAACCAATGACTCGTGGATTTGGGTTGGTCCAAAAATGGGTAAATTTTACCCCAAGATTTAGCCAAGAACAACTTGGGATATGCTGATGATGACTAGGAACCAACCTGGCCTTTAGCTGGGTACCCTCTGGTGAACTAACATAGCAATTGAAAATGGACCATTTATAGTGGATTTACCCATTAAAAATGGTGATTTTCCATAGCTATGTTAATTTACCAGAGGGTACCCTGAAAATCTGTCATGTTGAAACCATTCCCTGTGATCCAAGGTCCCAGTTGAATCTGGTCATAGATTTGCTGCCATTTCAACACTAGAAAAATTGGGGAGGAAACCAATGTCACACGAATCAGCGTTCGATCAATCACTGCCCCATTAACGAAAAGTGGTTCTGGGGTGCCTTGCAGTTTTTTGGGGAAATACCAATGTACTTGCCATCATCACAAGGTTTAAGGGTTTGGGATTTGGGCAAAACCTTATCATCTCACCTTGGCCAGTGTTCACAGTAAGATCTCATTTTTGTAGCTCAAGCCTCAACTGTTTGTGCTGCAGAATACCTGTAATTGGATGTAATTGGTGTATTCCTTCCTCTCTGGGTGGACCTTGGCTGTATAGTATCAAACTACTCTAATATTTGGATCAAGATTATATTATGCTGTATCACATACTGGATATAATATTGGATATAATACTGCATATTCACTGTATATTTGGCTATATACGCAGTGAATCAGGATATATTAAATGAGCTAAACATCTCTTTGTGTGGATGGTTCCAAGATTGGATTTTCAATCAGCTTAGGCTCCAGTGTTGGTTGTGTCATTCTTCAATGTGTTATTGTTAGATTCGCATTCGTTGTGTGGGTGATCCAAAATCCATGGTTTATTCAATCAATTTCTATGTATTCAAAATCAAGAAATTGCCAGAGGGTCAAGTCCCATCATATCACTTTTTTTTGGTGAAATCCCATCAAATAACCGATGAAATCCAATGAAAGCCCATGAAATAAATCACCATTCAAATCCCATTGTGTAGATCCCACATGATCCCATTATACACCACATCATCATAAAATCACATATGAAATCCCATGAAATCACCTACGAATCACCGATGAAATCCCATTGAAATCCCATGACATCACCGGCCCTGGTGGGCCGCCAGGTCGTGTCCATCCGCGCGGGGTCCCAACGGAAGCAGGCGGCGATCTCCTCGTTGGGCCAGGCGCGATCGAAGATGTTCCCGCAACGGGTGAGTCATTCTCAATGGTAATAATGGTCATTATGGAACCATATAGAACCATTATTATAAGGTAATATGATATGGTAATAGTGGTAATATTGGTAATTATCAATGGTAATAATGGATAATAATGGTATATATTATAGGCAATAATTGATATAGTATCATTATAAGGTAATATATGGTACCATTATAGAAAGTGAATGGTAAACAACTTTTCCCGAATCCATAGCAAGGGTTCCCGTTTCACTCTTGGGGTCTGGGGGTTGAGGCCCGCTTGGCCGTGCCTATGGCGAGTTCTGCAACAGTGGTCACTTTTGGAGGTTTCCAATGCCGTGTAGCCTCGTTTCGCGTGGCAGGCGTGGCACTTTGTGACATTCCAACATGTTTCATAACGTGTCGTCGTTTTGTGTGGCAGGCGCAATACTTTTGAAACATTTTCAGACGGTGCGTTCCAGTTTTCGTGGCAGGCGCAGCACTTTGGACGTGTCCATCGTCATTTCGCGTGGCAGGCGCAGCACTTTAGACGTGTCGTGTTGCGTGTTTTTTGCGAATCGCGTTGTCAGGGTTGCGTCAAGTGGCGACAAGGTGCAAACTCTGGCAGGCGTGGCATTTTGTGAGATGTGATGAAATATTGACGGAAGCCTTGCACGAAACATTGATTTTGACGTAGTAATTTTGAGGTTCATAGGAAAACGTAGGAAAACGTCGATTTTGAAGCTACGAAGTGTGAAAATTGGAGGAAGTCTCGCATTTTTGCTCGTTTTGAGCCTCCAACATGTGACGTCTCAAGTCTCTGGTTTTCCTCTGGCATCGCCGTGTATATGGAGGAAGCTGCAAAACCTATCCTTTTTGAAGGTGTCAAAGCAGGTTGTCATGTCATTTTGTGTGGCAGGCGCAATACTCTTGTGTCCTTTTCAGAAGATGAGTTGCAGTTTTCGTGGCAGGCGCAGCACTTTGGAGACCTCCATCGTCATTTTGCGTGGCAAGCGCAGCACTTCAGACGTGTCGCATTGTGTGCTCCACACTCCACACTTTACACTCCACACTTTACACTTTACACTCCACACTTCACACTCAACACTCCACACTCCACACTTCACACTCAACACTCCACACTCTACACTTTACACTCCACATTTTACACTCCACACTTTACACTTTACACTCCACACTCAACACTTTATACTCCACACTCCGCACTTTACACTCCACACTCTACACTTTACACTCCACACTCCACACTTTGCACTCCACCCTCTTCCGCATTCCACAGTCTACAGTGCACTGGTACGGTAACAGGGGAAAAATGTAGAATTTTCAAATAACTTGTTTCACAAAAGTGTTCTGCATGATTGCATTCGGGTTCGTGGGCTGCATCTTGTTTTTTTGGTACAGGTAATTGTCGGAATCTATGGTAGTCAATGGTAATAATATTTCAACTATATATATATATATACATTTATATTTATATTTATCTCTCTCATCAATACGCGTCATTAATTAGAAATTAGGGGTTTAACATGGTTTTGCCCTCAACATATGCGGATTTACAGTAATTGATAAAACTGATAAATAATGATAATGATTTTGTTGGGAGTTGCACTAACCATTATATTGGGGTATATCATAATCCATTCTGAGAACCCCTACTGTTTCCACTCAACTGGTTCTATCTAATCATGGATTGTTGGCGGATCCCTTTTCAACAGGTGAGTAGAACCCCAATGTCAACCATGAAACAATGGGCGTTTGACACTGCTCAGGACTTTATCTTTGAAAAATGGTATAAAATGATGCAAACATGTGTGACCTTAACCCCACCATGGGATTTATAGAGTTAACTTATGCTAAGTTGGTAAATGTTACTGTAAAGTGTAGGTTAACAAATGGGTGGTAGATACATGGAACTGTTTCAATGGGTGAAACTAAACCAACAAACACAATTACGGGATTAGGGTTTTTCTGCGGAGTTTAACCAGCCAAAATGGGGAATTTGCATTGAATTAAATAACACAAATGGTATATCATAATGGGTAATGATTATTGGGCACAACAACCCCGCGAGCAGGGACGTTTGTGTTTTTCCCAGTAAAGGTGGTTTCAAAAGAAGGGTTTGATGAAAAAAATCCTCAACACGAACGTATTTGAGAAACACTTGGAGATATTGCTGATTTCGCAGTTGAATCCGGGGTTTGATGCGACCAATGCTACGAAGTTTAGTGGTTTCTTGCGCAAAAAATGGGGATGCGGCGGGATGCGGGATACCCAAAAAAATCCAATGGTGCACCATCATTTTCACGACTAGACCAGCCATACATGGAGGTATTCCTCATTTGCAGAGAAACCCAAAGCCATGATTAGTGTGGCAAAACCCCGAAAAAAAAGCTGTAGTTAAACCCCACGTTTGATGTTTCTAGAGAATTGAACAACGACCTCACCACAACGTCACTCTAATTGATGGCTAGTAAGTGAACCATCCCAAAACCATCTTATTTCGGGTTGGTGAATTACTGTGAGTAACCCACAAGGCCAGTGGTTGACCAGACATGGGATGAGACAGGTACAGGTCACTATGATCTGATCCCATGTTGTGGTTCCAGAAAAATGCCACCCCAGAAATCTCCTCAGATTCCGAATCATTTGGACAAAATCATTCTGGGTCTGTATTGGATACACGCCAACCACACTCAAGTTTTGTTAGTGAACAACCTATGTTCAATGAGGTTTTCAGAATCAAAAAAATAGAGCTAGTGTACCATATAAAGCATAGTAAAGCCATAGAACTTGGGATATCTCCACTTACATAGCCCTAAAAAATAGACCTTGTATATGGTAGGTAGCTCCAATAAATTGCTTCACTCCCAGAGTGTCAGGGGACGCCTTTCCGCCTGGCTGGGAGCAACGGTTTCAATCCCTTCCGCATTGACATTCTACAGCAGGACCGCCGTGAGAGGAACATGGTGAGGTGAGTCGGAGTTCAGCAACAAAAATGTTGGTTGAATGGAATATGAATATGGAATATATTGGAATGGATACATAATGATACATACATATCTGATTGGTGGTTTCAAACATGAATTTTATTTTCCATTTCATATGGGATGTCATCCTTCCCATTGACGAGTTGTCCATCATTTTTCTGGATGAACTGACGACCTCCCTGGGACGTCCCATAGCTGGCCGCAAGTTTCAAGGTTAAATTCAAGGTCCTGATGTTTCAATGGTGGGAATGATTGAAACACCTGGTGGGAATGATTGAAACACCTTTTTTGATTTATCATCATAATTATTGTTATTCATCCAGATGGTGGGAATCGCAGCTGCGGCTGGTTTTCTTGTATCATGGATACAAGATCATGAGAGATGATATTTGATGTTGAGGCTGGTGCTGCTAGCATCATTTTGGTTACTGAAAGGGGAATCCGGAATCTTCAATTGGCGGGCAGCGTTGATACTTGCAGAGGTGCCCCTTCAACCATTCGGCAATGAATTGAAAATATTCAAGACTATACAAGGTCAAGTTAGGTCAAGATTGGCTCTGTGTTCTTTGTAGTTCTGAGGAGTGGCCGAATGATGGACAAATGGCGAATGATCTGAAAACAGAAGAAAAAGATTGTGACGAAGATGCCAATCTATATATAAATAACATCATATAACAACAATACATGGAATGATTCTATACAATTTTACATGATAGATTTAGGTGCATGTGTATATATATATATATGATAGTATCATACCATAGTGTGTATACATATCTAGATATATATATATATATGAACATGGCAGCATAGAATGCTACTAACACTGGATAGCCAACAGCCGGTTGTTTTTTCATGGTGATGGGCCGCAGGTTGGCTCTACGCGGCTTGCCCTGAAACCTGGGGAAGGCGAGGTTTCGGTTGGAGCTTGTTACGTTTCTATTTAGATAGATAGATAGATTATTATATATGCATGTATTATAATATATACATATTATATGATATACATTACAATATCTATGTATTATAATACATATATATATATGATTATATTATGTTGTATTGTATTGTATTATCTGTGTATTAAATGTGTATATATATATTATACATGCCTCTGTTGGTTGATCATTGCTCCCTTAATATGGGTGAAACACCACCATGTATAGAAGATATGAGCCAGAAATATGTGGATATAATTGGTAAACGATGGTTAATTACGGTTAGTTTATGATTTGTTTGGGGGTACTGCTCATTATATTGGGGATTGTCATTTTATATGAACTGGGAATCCCATTCCTGGCCGGCCATTGTAATGCAATGCTCATGTGTGCACGACATAATGTACGAGCATGCAGGCCATACATGGGACGGATTCAGAATGCCACATTGGATTTTAGATACTGTATGCATCCTGAGACATGCATTGATTAGATAGGTCAGATACTTCTGCATTTGGTGCAGAACATGATCTTTTATGCACTGATTGAGGAAGTTTTGTTTTTGATCAGCCTGGTGTTGCTGTGCAGCCCTTTGATTAAAACTCACAGAACACAATGGAGTCATTGTCAGGTCATCAACCTCCTGGATAAACTGGGGAAGCGCATGGATTTCTATAGAAATCTACTAGATTGATTGGTTACTATACCCCCTATCCCCGGTGAATATCTTATTACCGTTGATCTCTCCATGGTAAGGGCAACTCGCTTCGGAGGCACCTATTCCATCGACCTCAAAGGTGCTGGCTTGGACGGTGGCAACGTGAACGTGGCCTTTGCTGTGCGTGGCTTGACAGGGTGCAATGTGGGACGTCTAGTTGGAGAGTAACGGGGGACTTACCAACCAAAAAATGGGGGGGTTCACCAACAAAACCTGGTGACTTAAGAAGCAAACCTGGTGAGTTTTGCAAGAAACCTGCTGATTTAGGCAGCACATCATAGCACATCTGGTGATTTCGGCTACAACCCAAGCCCCTAAGCAACAGAATTGCAGGAGCCAGCCAAAATGGGGGTTCAACAAAATCAAATGGGATTGACCAACACGAATGTGGGATTCTAAGTATGACTTACAGCAAGTCATTGAGCACTGGTTCTCCTGGGCTGAGACTTTGTTGAAATTTCTGTTGCTTAATGTCCCTTACACACTTATACAGATACACAAAGCTGGAAACAAAATTACATTGGATGATACTACAGAATGATCAAGATGGTACATCACCAATATGAACACCGAGGTATGAAAGGAAACGACGGCAGCTTGCCACCCAAGAGACAAGCCTTCACGGACCAGCGCGATGACATGAAGGTGCTGAATGTCATTTGTTTTGTGTTTTTTGCTACAGCGTAAACCCCTAGATATGGATAAAATATCATAAAATCAAGTAAATACCATAAACAACCGGTCACAAATGTGCAACTTTGAAACTTCGAAACTTTGCTGGGGAGAGCTTGAGCCTTGCGGATCACTAGACAACATGATCTCACATCCTCGAGGTAACTTCGAGGATATGAAAGAGAAGATAAGAGAAGCATGTTTTTGGAAAATCAAAATATCAGGTAAGGTACCCGCAGGGTAAGATAGTGGGTGAAATTGTTTTGTCACCTTCCATGGAAATTCAACATCCATCAGCGGCAAGTTGGTTTCAATTTTGCCAGCTGTTCATTTACATTGGAAATTCGATAAACAACTAGGAAGTTACAGTAAAGCTCACATGTTCATTTTCCCTTCAAAAAATAAGGCCCCCATCTGCTATCCATGCCTTTTCTCATGCCCGGAGACTGCTTTTTGGGTTGTTATGTGGATACCAGATATCCATAGAAAATCCGCCCACACCGCTTTGGCGGTGAAGGCGTGCTTATTGGGGGGCAAAACAGCAACACTAAATGCTCAATGACATTTGTTAATATAGCAGTCGCTATATCAGCCTTAGCTGGGGGGGGGGCCAAAAACGGTTTCGCACCGAGACCAGAATACGGTGGTGTTTTCGATTTTTCGAGGATTTTTGGGTGTCTGAGCGCAAGAGGGTATTGAAATGGAATTTTGGGTCATTTTGGTAGCTCTCCGGCAATGGAAAAACGGCCAAAAATGAAAAAAACATTGTACATAGCAAGATTTTGCAGGGTTTTTGGATGCCAGAGCATTGAAAACACTGCAAAAACAAGTGTTTTGGACTGACGTTATAGCAAAAAACGTGTAAATTACCGTATGCTTGACTGGAAACATTACAAAAACACTGTCAAAAGCAATGTTTTGGAAGGATTTACTGCCTTTATGGCAAAAAACGTGTAAATTACCGTCTGTTTGACTGGAAACATTGGAAAAACACTGTCAAAAACAATGTTTTGGAAGGATTTCTTATATATATATATATGTTGGAGTTGGCTACCGGCATTGGAACATGGAAAAATTGAAGAAAACACTGTAAATAGCGGTATTTTCAACGGTTGGGGAGATAAGGGAATTGGAAGCATTGTCGAACATGATGTTTTCGACCGGTTTTATGGCGACAAAAGTGTAAAGTACCGTGCTTTGAAGGAAACCATTGCAAAAACATGGAAACACATTCAAAGAACACGGGATTTGGGGGACTATCTAGGCGTCGTTGTCTAGCTATTTGAAATTCCGCAGCTTGGAGAGCCTCCAAGGGAGGGAAAAGTGAAAATTCCATAGCTTGGGAAGCTGTCACGGCGGGGAAAAGTGAAAATTCCCTAGCTTGGGAAGCCCCCACGGGGGGGAAAAGTGAAAATTCCCTAGCTTGGGGAGCCCCCACGGGGGGGAAAAGTGAAAATTCCCTAGCTTGGGGAGCCCCCACGGGGGGGAAAAGTGAAAATTCCCTAGCTTGGGGAGCCCCCACGGGGGGGAAAAGTGAAAATTCCCTAGCTTGGGGAGCCCCCACGGGGGGGAAAAGTGAAAATTCCCTAGCTTGGGGAGCCCCCACGGGGGGGGGAAAGTGAAAATTCTTAGCTTGGGGAGCCCCCACGGGGGAAAACCACCCTTAGCCCCTCTCACGGACCGAAATAAACCTGCGGTGTGGGCGGCCACCCCACGCGAAGCGGGGTGAATAAATGAAAGAAGGGTCTTTGTTTGTCATATTGTAGTCCTCCTAGATATGTACATACATATGTATATACATAAATACATGTACATATATTTGTATATACAAACATAGGTGTATGTATGTATATATATATATATATTGTGTGTACAAATGTCGTAATACATAGCATCTATGGTATGCTCATGGAGTGCCGCAGTCGCCACAGGAGGAGGATCGGCGTTTCGCATCTCAGGCTGCACAGGCGAAGGAGCGCCTCGGACCGAAGCTGGAAACGCCGAGGGCATCTTAGGGTTCGTTGGAATGAAGGAAATATTAACGGAATATAACGAAATATAAGGGAATATAGGGGAATATAAGGGACAATTGGATTTTGGAAAATTAATTTTCCCGAAAAAGATGGGAACTAATTGGAATGAATGGGATACAACGGGATGTACAATCAGAAAATGTGCCATTTTGGGAGGTATACCCCCATTTCCAGACAGACCCGAATCCATGATTAGTTTGGCTACATCCCAAAAACAAGAACGATGGGTAAACCCCCAAAAAGCGTGATGATTTTAGACCCCAATAATTTATGTTGGTTAAATCTCGTCTTTTATGTTGATTGAATATGATTAAATCTCCATTGTCGATGATGATTGTTTCCCATGATTAATGGTTAAAACCCTCGTCTTTGATGGATTTAGACCCCACCTGGTTTTTCCCGCCGAGGTATTTGGAGTCACACGAACTGCTCCCCTTTGTGCGAGCTCTTTTGCAGGTTCGCTTACGGTCGGTTTGGTATATGTTGATACATGTTTGCTAAAGGTGATATAAGCATACACCAGGCATACAGGAGGTGAGTGATTGCTCTGTTTTTGACTTTACTTCATGTTTTTCTTGTTTGAGTTTGCTGCCTTCATTTTGTTGGAATTGCCAATGGTCACCACTACTCTGTATCTATACCTGGGATAGTTCGTGCCATTCTCGCAGCATTCGAAAACCAATGAGTTGCAAATTGACATCCCCACCATTTCCCCACTACTAATCCTACTATCTCCAGTCAATGGGTGCCTCGACCACCAACAACCATCAACAACCATTAGTACTTGCAACCACCAACCAGTTCCTACTTCCAAAGTGTTTCCCTGAGCCAGAAAAATCCGTTCAGCCGCTCAGACGGTGATCCGAGATCGACCCAGCGATCCCTACAACTTCATCGCAGATCAGCGTCTCGGCGGCCACATCACAGGGATGTGCAAATCGGGCATCGTTGGCAAATGGGCACTACCCTCTGGTATTTCTAACATAACTATGGAAAATCACCATGTTTCGTATTTTTCATGGGAAAACTCACTAGTTCTATGGCCATTTTCAATAGCTATGTGGCTGTTTACCAGAGGGTACCCTTCGGTAGTCCAATGTGGCTGGACATCCCCGAAGCCATGGAGTTTCGAAGCTCCACCTCTGCAAGGATGGGGTCCTTCCATGTCCTTCCCCCGTGTCCCAAAAAAAAATTACTAACCCGTGGTAACCATTGGGGAATACAATGGGGATATTTAATATCAGGGGTATGGGATGAATATGGATTGAGTATTGAAGTGCTTCTAGTTTACCAAGAATGGTACCCTTGCCTGCAATCCTGCGTCTAAGAAGAGTCACAGGATATACTTGTAGTAGTTACTAGTAGATCCAGCATTCCCTTCCCCCTAACAATAAAGCCCCCCGCCCTGGTTTAGTCCTGGATTTCTTCATTTCCGTATCTCGGGAGCTCTATTATATTTATAGAGCACATATTTGGTTTATTCTATCTACTCGTGGTTAATATCCCCATCCCCAGGGCCTTAAAATGGCCGCTGAAAACTGAGGTTTCGTTTGGCTGCCTCCGCCGTCATCAAGCCCTGTCAGCCGCAGGCCGAAAGCAACGACGGCGCGGCTTTCAGTGAGCCACTGTTGAAGAATGTGGGAGGTCTCAGTGTGATGAGCAATGGACAGGTGACCTCTGTTGATGGGGCTGTACTACCATGGTTAGATGCATACATATGATTATGATTATGATTGTGTGTGTGTGGGGGGGGTATACATACATGATGATGCATGCATGAAAAACAATGCTACATATGCGTATGCAAATGTATGCACATCCATTTATATGATGTAATTATGTATTTATTGTTATGGTATGTGTGTATTTCTACACATGCACACTGCACACACAGTGTGTGAGCTGGTATCGAAGCCCCAACAGCCAGATTTGCTGCCATCGAAGCATTGCTTTGATGCCCTGAGATTCTTCTGTGATATGCTGGGTCTGCTGAAGAGATACCTACAGTGAATATTCTTGGCAACCAGCCGCACAAAACCTAGTTGATGAATACGTTAGTGATTTTTAACAACAAGATATATATATATATATATATAAATTCAGAACACCAATAATAGTAGTATCAATAGTAGTGATATGTAATACTGTGTAATTAATAGTAATTATCATAAACCATCAAGATGTATCTTACCTGGCCTCAGGTCATCCCCTTCGAGGCACAACCGGCGGTTTTTGCACCTGCCAACACGAAGGTGGGCCATGATGAAGTCGGGGCAAAGTTTTTATCCGTATGCTATATGTACAATATATATATAATTATATATAATGGAGTTCCATTGGCTTCAAGATATCTCGCAATCGATATGTAAAGTATCTCAGTATCTCCGTTTATTTTACTAGATGAATTTCACACTGATACATTTGCTCAAAAGAATTTGCAGGCAGGGCGGAAGACCGGGACCAGCCAAGGGCACCTTCAACAAGAAGCCTGTTTGAACGCTTTGAAGTTGGTCCGGCATGTGCGTCATACCCGGGCGTGTAAGCAACAAGTATTGGGGGTTCAACTTGGTGTTACAAAAGAAAATGAGGAAGCCACAGTGGTTTTTCCACCACACAACACCTTCACACCATCCACTATGCAATCCAAACACGGAAAGTTTGAAAGGAAGTCCGAGGCCGCGTTTGCATGGGTCCAAGGGGGCACAAAGTGCATCCATATATCCCAAGTTGTGATCCAATAATGGGGAACATTGAGGAACATATGGGAAACAATGTCCCAAGCCACTCTTTGTTCCGCATTGTTTGCACAAAGTGAATATGTTTTTCATGACAAATCCTTTGCAAATGGTTGTTTCCTAAAATTGGATTCATCCCTTTTTGGTAGGACATGTCGTCTTGGAGTGTCCCCAATCGGACGTCATTTTGTGTTTCCCAAAAGGACGTCATCTTCGACGCTAGGCGGAACACAACTTGCCCATCTTTGCCCAGCGAGCCCCACCGATCGAGGATGGTTGATCATTTCTCGTCCTCCAGACCCAAAGAATGGTGATTTACCCAGTCAAATGGGGATTTAACATGATTTAACCATCAAGAATAAGGTTTAACCAGTGATTCATGGATTTGGGCTTGTGTGAAATTGGGGTGTACCACCAAACTCACTTTTAGGAGAGAAGACAATGATGAACCATGAGATTTAGGGGCGCCCTATTCAAAGACAATTGTACTTGGAAAGTTTTCACGGAACGCACGCTCACCCAAAACAGCGATGTTGACTATGCATGAATATGGGGTTTTGGTGGGTGCTCTACTCCTTGTCCTCGAGCCTGTACTTTTGTGTGTTTTACCTCATCGAGACGAGCTAGAAAGCACATTTTACATATATATATATATAGTGCTTGACCGTCTACGGATTCTGTGGAATGTCGTATCTACAAAGTGTGCTCCCCGATATTTGATTCTATCTGTACAGTTTTCCCTGTATGTGTAATAGTGTATATATTAATGTACGTGTAATACCCGTAAATATGACCATTATAAGAATCAGGGACTCTAGGGGTTGTATAAACTCTGCTTTTATAGCGATGTTTTTTCTCAATATGTTGGATGTTGACAATTTTCAGTTGTTGACCTGGAGCGATCCTGACTTTATAGGGGATTCGGAGTTGGTATGTGCAATCTTAGGGGGGTGTGATCCCATAGAGGGGTGATGTTTTACAGAAATATTGTAGAAGCAGGCTGTGAAATTGATTTTATACATACTATTTTTTTTCTCTAAAGTTGGTTTACATAAGTGCATAGGGTTCTGATTTATCAAAATCGGTTTCAGCGCTGCGGGTTCTGATTTTATAGGGCCAACGTTGGTTACATACAGGGGTGTGGGTTTCGGATTTTACAGATACGTAGACATTGACATCCCACATCACTATAAAATCCAAAAGCACAACCTCACAAGCACCTTCATGGAAAAAGTGGTAGTCGACGCCTCTGTAAAATCCGAACACACAGCCCCATTGAGCCAAACACCTGAATCAAAACTCTCCCGCACCAAGGCAGAGCTGAACAAATATCACTACAAAGTCAAGGACTCCAATCAACATCGATTGGAGTCACTATAAAATCAGGGGAGCATCAGTACTTGGCTTCAACCAAGGTTAAGATCTTGTGCGCTTTATAGAGATACGAAGGGTTTCTGAAATTCCACCGGCGGGTATGGTGCGAGCGATTCTAAAGAGCATGTTCTGTTTTACAAGAGTCGCGCGAGAGTAATTCTATAGTGAAAAATAGGTCCAAACCCATCTTGTACATTCTTATACTATAACATCAGGGCCTCTGACCCGACCTATATGATATTTGAGGGGATAATGTATAACATTAATAATTATATGTTTTCTCCAGACCTGGGAGGGCATGCATGAATGGTGGTCCACCCTGAGCTTTTGGCTTCAGTGTGGGGGGAAGGCTTCCCTGGACCTCTCGTGAGGTTAGGGTGGGCCAGACCCTCTTACGTGCGTGGCGGGTCAGTGGAGGCTCCCAGGTCTCTCCGGAGATAGGGGGTCCTCCCTGACCTGCAGGGTTTGGAGCCAGGGGTGGCCAGGCCTTCTCTTGAAGGCAGGCCAACCGTGGTTGCTAAACGGTACTTGCGATCAGGAGGAGGAAAGAGACCTGGGAGGGGGATTTGAATCCCTATCCCTTGGGGCTTGAGCCTCAAGGTCCTGGGTAAGGATAAAGGAGATGGAGGCGGCAAAACAGAGCCTTTTGGCAAAAGGAGGGACCCTTGGGGATTGGACAGGCCTCATCACTAATGGCCTGCAGCCTGAAGACCTGGCTTGGGTTGATGCTGCAACGCATCCTGGAAATGTCTTGGACTATGCCCGACGCGTGATGAACCGTGACGGCATCATGGAGTACGAGTGCTATGACGCCAGAGGGCGAGCACAGGGCAAAGCCATTATAAGGCTGCTAGACTGGGATGACTATGCGTTGGGGACACTTAGAGGTGTCCACCTGAGAGCGTCCGATCCCTACTATGACTGGTATGCCCAACATGAACTGCAGGAGGGCAAAGGGATATATCACCTGTGCGGGTCAAAGAGGTCCCAGTGCACGGCTCGCTTGGGCAGAGGCGACAGGCGGGAGATGGTGCACTTGGAGCGGTGGCGCATGACGAACCCCATGGTCATGTTGGAGCACGACTACTCCAAGGAAGTGGCACTCATGGCGGTGAATAACTGGGTGTCCAATTTTGCCGCAAAGGTGCCGGAGCCGCCAAACCCTCCGGGGCCCCCTGGTGGGGCTAGGGGGGCTGATCCAACGGGTTTGGACAAGGCACTTGCCGAAGCTGGTGAAGCTGAGGAGGAGGATCAGGTGGAGAAAAGAAAGAAGAATGAAGGAGGCCGGCCTGAGGTTCATCCAAAGGGCTTAGTAGGGTTGATGCTGGAGAGAAAGGCCGCAGAGAGGAGAGCTGCTCTGGCTGACAAGGAACGGCAGGATCAGAGAAGGCGGCCTGACAGAGGGCGAAGCCGGAGCAGAGGACGCCGGCGAAGGAGGCGTAAGCGGTCTTCAAGCCCTGGTGAAAAGGGGCATGAAAGATCTGACTCATCAGGGTCATCACGAAGTTTTCGAGAGCCCTCTACCCGGGGGGAGGTCGAGACGTGGCGGCAAAGCAGGAAAAACCCCGGGGCCCTTCTGAAGAAAGGGATGGAGGAAATGGCCCGCTATTTAGCCGAGAGGGCACCCGGCGAAGAAGGCGGCACCGACACGTGGATGAGCCATCGAATGATGGCCTACGTCAGTCAAGTGGTGCTCACCCAGCATCTTCCAGGGACCATCGGGGTCCGCAATCACAGGGAGCTGCTGACCTTAGGTCGAGCCATCGACATGCTCATTCAGGGGCAGCTGGGGGAGCTGGGCGACCTTCTCATGCAGAGATTGAAGGCGGTGGAAACCTCGCTGGTGGATCAAGGATGGCACTCGGCGAAACATCAAGAGCTGATCCCTCCCCATGCAGCCAGTCTGACAACAGAAGCCGAGAGGCGTCGGACGGCTCGGATGGAGATCTCAGCAAACAAGCTGAAAGAGATGACGCTGAAGGGGAGAAAGGGCGACAAATAGGGACTCGGCGGCGGTGCCCGGCAGGTGGAGGGCACCGTGACGCCACCCAGGTCAAGTCGGCCAGCGGCCCTGAGGGAGAGCGACCATCGCCGGGTGGTTTTCAACGAGAAGCCACTGATGATCGGAGAGAAGAATGCGGCCGAGAAGGAGAGCCCCAAGAGCGAGGGGAAGGCGAAAGGGAAAGAAGGGGGGAGGAAAAGGAGGAGGAAAGGACTCGAGACCCAAGGAAGGGGAGAAGAGGAGCGAGAGGAGTCCAACCCCCCCGAAGTCTTGACTGATAAAGAGAGCTTCGAGACTGTGAACCCCGAGAAGGAGGCCGAGTCGAGTCTGGAGATGTTCAAACGATGGTTGGAGACTGAGGAGACTGGAGGACTGAGTGTGGCCCAGACAGGGGCGCTGCTGGCCCTCAGCGTATGGCGCAGTGGTACGCCGTTAGGCAGCTACTTGCATCAGGTTTTGCAGCCCGGGCCAGACGACGGTGATTCAGGAAGGAGACAAAGGGGGATTCTTCCTTTACCGCTTTTACCTGATGCAAGAGCGGAGATGGAGAAGCTTTTCAATGAGGGCGAGTTTCGGCGACTTGCTGGAAGCTGGGGGGCCAAGAAGCAGAACAAAGAGAAAGCGGCAAAGCAGATCCGTCGGAGTGGTATGCTATTGTGGCATGGGCTGGTTGTGACCGGCATCAATGCCCTTTGGACCGGAGGTGGCAATTCTGGAAAAGTTCATCGAGGAGGACCTTCAAAGGCTCAGCAGATGGCCCTGGATAGGATATGGGATGTGGTGCGCGATTTCGTTGATGACCGGTCGGAAACCCAAGAAAAAGTACCCAGGTCACCTACCCTGGGTGAGTGGGGAAAGAAGTTGGGTGACGTCCGGATCTCATATCAGGGTGAGATTGTTGAGAAAGCCCACCAGTTGACCCTGGCGCAGATCTTGCCTGGGCTTCCTCCTCCAGGCTTCGGGGGTAGTGTCCCCTTGGTGGAGCTCTGCGATGGGGAGTTGAGAGAAAAGCTTATGAACCCTGAGGGCAATGTGCTGAAGGAGGAGGAGATGCCGGAAGACCTGCCGAAACCCAAGGTGCACGCCAGCCCAGAGCAGTGGCAACTGATAGCCAAGGAACTTTATACCCGTGGATTGGTGGAGCCAGTTGAAAGTCCTTTGGAAATCAAAGGCAAGCCCATCTGCAACGGCGCATTCGGCGTGGTCAAGCCAGGCAAATTCCTAGAGGACGAGCGCCCTATCCTCCGACTCATAATGGATTTCAGAGCGGTCAACGCTGCCACTCGGATCCTTGAAGGAGACGTTCGGAAGTTGACCGGTGCCCCGGCACTGCAACATATCGTTCTCCCGAACAGCAGCGTACTAAGGGTCTCGGCAGAAGACCTTGTAGCTGCTTTTTATTTGTTCGCATTGCCCCCAGGATGGTCACGGATGATGTGCTTCGGTGAGAAGGTGCCATGGACGTCACTGGGCATTAGCCGGCCGGGTTCAGTATACCTGGGGGCTAGGGTATTGCCCATGGGCTGGGCCTCGGCGGTGGGTGTTCTTCAGCATGCCCACCGACGATTGGCCCTCAGATCACCTTTGTCAGGGGGAGCCGGCCTCCTGGGGGCGTGTGAGATCAGGCGGGACGCGGAATTCCCAGACCTGGAACTGGAGCGATCGATGTGGTCGCTTTACTTGGATGATACGACGCTGGTTGAGATCCTGGACAAACGCGTCGCCAAGGAGCTGGAAGGAAAACCCTCGGCTGAGCAGGAGCGCCTGAGAAGGGCTTACCAGCACTGGGGAATTCCAGTGTCAAAGGAAAAGGCACTGGTAAGGAATGAAGCGGCCGAAAAACTTGGGGCCGTGGTTGATGGAGAAAAAGGGGTCTTGAAAGGATCCACGAAACGTGCGCTGGAGAACCTCTCGTTGGGGTTTTGGCTGTTGCGCCAGGAACGAGTACCAAGAAAAGCCCTTCAGGTCTTTCTGGGAAAGGAGGTCCACACAATGCAGTTCAGACGTCCCCTCTTTGGGGTATTTGACTACCTCTGGAAGGATGTGGCCCAGGGTTCCCCCATGGTGGAACTAGGGCTGAAATCAGTGGAAGAGGTATTGCTCAGTGGACTTCTGCAACCGCTGAGAAGGACGGATCTGAGGGCAAGGCTGCATGAACTGGTGACAGCCTCGGACGCCAGCGAAACCGGTGGCGGAATGGTGTATGGGCACAAATTGTCCCAGCAAGGATTGAAGGAGGTACTGGCCATTAAAGAGGGCTGGGAGGAGCCTCCAGGAGAAGAGGTGAATGTGGATGGGCCTCAAGTGGTCCTGGCAATTGATTTCTTCGCTGGGATAGGGGACTTTCCCGTGCCCTTCAGTTGGCTGATGTGAAAGTGGCCCACCTTTTGGTGGTGGAAAATGACCCGGATTGCAGGCGGCTAAACGCTGTACGGTGGCCAGGGTGCGATCTGATGAGCGACATCCAGAAGGTCACCAAGAAGGAGCTGGAGAAGGCCATTAGAGGAGTGCCTGGGTTGACAGGCGTGATTGCAGGGGGCGGGTCCCCATGCCAAGGCTTGTCGCAGCTCTCGGCCAACAGGAAACACCTCGAAGATCCCAGGTCGAAGCTGTTTTACCGCCTGTGTGAGATCTTTGGGTGGATTGCTGATATATGTGGTGAGATGGAAGTTTGGAACCTGAACTTCCTTGAGAATGTGGTTGGTGATGAAGCTGATGTGGAGGAAATGACAGAGGAGCTGGGTGCGCCTCCACTTCGAGTTTGCTCGAGCGGGTTGTCTCGGGTTCGAAGGCCCCGGTTGTACTGGAGCAACGCTGACCTGGAGGACCATTCGAGTTATACGAGGGCGCACTATGCACTCTGGGACGAGCTTTGCTTTGAGGAGGAGCTGGAGCCCATGGAATTCTTCTGTGATGAGGGATGGCTGTGGGCCGCTGGAAACCAGGATGAAGAAAAGAGGCTGCCTACATTTACGAGGGCCATTCCTCGGAGCAGGCCCCCGGTGTGCCCGGCGGGAATTGATGGATGCGACGAGGCCACCTTGAAAAGGTGGAAGGAGGACAAGATGAAGTACCCTCCCTACACTTACAAAGAGGACTTCTTGTTTGAATCAAAGAAGGACTCAAACAAGAAGCGGGTGGCCTCAGCGTCTGAAAGAGAAAGGCTGATGGGTTACCCGACCGGGTACACGCTCGGGCTTTTCAAGAAAGAGCCTGGTTCCGATTTTGAGATGGAGCAACAGGAGGTAGCACGCTGTGCTGCCCTGGGCAACAGTTTCCACGCCGTGACAGTGGCATGCCTGATTGACCTGTGGCTGTGGTCAGCTGGAGTTCGCACTGATCCAATGGGTGCAAAGGCCATTGTGGAGCGATGGCATAAGGAGATGAGCGAAAAGGCATTCAGCGACTTTGGAGGGCTGCTGCTGAAGGAGAAGCAGGCGATGAATTCGAGCCTGCAAGAACTTGAGTTGGAGGAGGAGGCGATGAGCCAAGATGGTGCGCCACGCAATACAGAGTGGTTGCGCATGTGCGGGCAAGGCCAAGCAAAGGATGGTCCAGACCCACTCAGTGTGAGGTTGATCCATCAGTACCTTCGACGATGTGAGTTTCGAGGGTCAGACATTCGCCTGGATCTAGGCGTGGTATATCGGCCAGATGCTGTCAAGAGGACGAGCATTGACCCGCGGAGGTGGCTCTGGAGAACGGCTCAAGCCTATCGCTGGAGCAAGCGAGAACATATCAACCTCCTTGAGCTCAGAGCCGTGCTGCGGACGCTTGAGTGGAGGAGCCGTAGCACGGCGTTTCACAGTTGCCGGTTCATGCACCTGTCTGACTCGCAAATCGTCCTGGCAGTGCTGACAAAGGGCCGGTCGTCGTCCCGCCGGATCAATCGATTGCTGAGAAAAGTAGCCTCTCTCTGCCTCTGCCTGAACTTGTACCCCCTTTGGGCGTGGATCAGTAGCCGGTTAAACCCGGCTGATGGGCCATCAAGAAAATATGGCTAAAGTGATCCCCCATCGGGAAACCAAGGCAGAGAGGAAGAAAGAGAGGCAAAAGATTGGACGGCTGGGAGACCAAAAGATTTCACCTTGCACGCGAGAGCGTTACCACCACTCTCTCAAGGAAGTGGCCAAGCATGCGAATTTAAGTCCTCAGATGCTGCTGAGGCAAGACAGTCTGGATGACATTTTGTCGTCCTTTGTAGAGATGCTTTGGGAGGATGGTGAATCCCGTTCTCAAGGTAGCTATGCTATAGCTGCCATCCAGCACTTCGCCCCTGATGCAAAAGGGAGGCTTAAGAATGCTTGGAAATTGATGGGGTTGTGGCAGAAAATTGAACAGCCAAGGCGTGCCACTCCGTTAGACCCCTCCTTGTTGCTGGCGTTTGCTGGGGTGTTTTGGAAGTGGAAATGGGAAGATCTGGCCTGTCTGACCGTGGTTGGATTCGCTGGACTCCTGCGGACGGGAGAGATGTTTGCCTTGCAAAGATCAGATGTGGTCTTGGCGCGCAAAGCAAACCAGCCTTCCATCATATTCCTCTATGACACCAAAACTGCAAAGCGCAATCTCCTGACTGCAGAGAAGGTGTTGATCTACGAGCGGTGTGCTAAAGCATGCCTCCACTTTCTCTGCAAGAATAAAAATGGCACAGAACGCCTTGTGGACACAGCGCCGGCAAAGTACCGTGCAGTGTGGAAGGAGGTCGTCGACCACTTAGGTCTGAATTCATTTCACTATTTACCATACTCTCTTAGAAGAGGAGGAGCTACGTCCGCCTACAAGGAAGGCATGACTTTTGAACAGCTTCTCATCAAAGGGAGGTGGCAGAATGTTTCAACTGCTAGGTTGTATTTGGACCAGGCTTTGCAGGAGTTGACTCGAATCCAACTCCCTTCCACTGCTGTTGCTCGAGTCCGCGCAGCCAAGCTGTGCTTTAAGGCTGCCGGGCTGGGACGCGTGGAGGGGGAGGAGTGACAAAGCCTGGTGGTTTTCTTTTCCTTCAGTCACCTTAAGCGCTTAAGGGTGGCTGTGTACAGCCTTTTGACAGGGGGCACCTTGGCCCGGGCACAAAAGTGCGCTTTGAAGGGACAAGAAGGGTGGACGTAATGTAATGCATATATATATATTGTATACTGTACATATATGTGTGTTTTTCAAAGAGTCTACCGCCTGGTGGGTCGTAGCACTTGTACCACCCGTAAACCCGTGGCGTTGCAGGAATCCATTGAGCACCCTGAGCCGGCGGAGCCCGTAGATGTTGAAAGCTTGCGCTTGCAAGTACGAGATGCGCTGGGTCAGGCGAGCTGTCCCAGCAGTGGGAAACTGGAGAGTTGAAAGCCTTCTAAATGGGGCTAGGTTTGATGGATTTACATGGGCTTAAATGGATTTAACTGGGTTTTAAATGGATAAAATATGTGATCTTGGATGGATTTAAACCTTTGGCAGCAACGTAGAAACCATGTTTTTTGCTCGAGTTTCCTTCAAAGCAATCCAATGACATTGCCACGGCTAGTTTCAACACAAAAATTTTGGAATGGGTGGCTCAACCATTAGACCGTGATTTGGGATGTGTCTTTGTATGGCTTCGGAAACCCCACCACAGAAGCTAGTTGGGCAGCCCTTGGCATTTCTTTATTCCTGTGAGCATTTCTGTTCCAAAGCATCCCCGATGAGTCTCATCTCTAGAGGGTTCGACTTTCAATTGGTTTGTGCTTGAATCAGGAGATGTCAATTGAGCGGACAATCGAAAGTGAATTGAATAAGAAATTTCTGTAATTTCAGCATATTTCAGCATTAATTTCAGGTGAAGCAAATAATTTTTACCATCCCCACCTGCGCTTAGGTATAGCATGGTATAGCATGGTATAACCCGAAAAATGGATCTATTTGGTATGATTGAAATGACCCAATGTTTGGTTACTGGGATGGTTTTTGTAAAGATGGCTGTGCCCGGCTGTGATTCAATGAGGCTATTGTTGAGGTGCTAGGCTGCTATCACGATATCCTGTTTGTAGGAAACCACAAACTAAAAACAAATAGTTGATAATAGTGGTTGTTTATTATCCACGCACAACGTAATGAACAATACCTGGCCATTGGTGGGTTTGGGCCGGTTTGGGTAAGGAAACGGGGTTCTCAAACAAAGTATGATGTATTGATACAGCAGTTCCTGGCCTATATCATCACATCCAAGCACATTGATACAGTATATGTTCGTATTTGATTGTCTGTAGGATATGTAGTGGATGTGCGAATCTATGGTTGCATGCATGTATGTGCTCATGTATTTAGGTACAGATGTACTTGTGTACTTATGTACTTTGCGTTTTTGTGAAATTATTTATACTGTATATAATGCAATGTAGTACTGTAGCGTAGTGCAATGTAATGCAATGGAATAGAGCGTGATGTAGTGCAATGTAATATTGCGGCCAGGCACTGCGTGTTGCCCGCAAAGTTCATGGCATTTAAGCATTATCCTTCAACATGCTCAAACACCTGCGCAGGGCCAGTGTTTTGAGATTTCCCAGACGACGAGCCCTAAACCCCAAATCCTAAACCCAAAAACCCTAAAACCTAAAACCCTAAAACCTTAAACCCTAAAACCTAAAACCTGAAAACTTTGAATCCTAAACCAGAAAACTCTGTGTATATGCAGTATTTTCTGCAATCTCTCCTATCTTATTCAACAACACGACATCCTCAATGTGAATGTCTGGGCAACACGCGGCGTCTGTGGGTAATATTACATTATGTTTTGCTTTGTTGTGGTATGAGTATGTTTGCATCACAGGCCGTCGAAGATGGCCGACTCCAGAAGTTTATGGAGGAGGTGCTCTCCCACTTTTCGCCGGTCGGATGGAAAAGTGCAAAGGGGGAAGTTCAACCATCAACGGATAAGATATGTACAGTACATTGTATTTGCTGGAAAATGATACTTGATGAAATCTGTTGTTTTCTGAACAGGCCTTGATGGTTTTTGTCATCATCGTTGAGGACAGCAGATGAGATCTGATAACAGGTGGTGATGCATGCGAGTTAAACATGGTAGGTGATGATTCATGATGATGTGATGATGATGTTGTGCTATGATAAATGTCGCGTTGTGACCGTTTCTGACACATGATGACATTAGTGGATAAACCATGATAGATAATGATACTGGGTTCATGTCGTTTCTTGTCTCGTCTCCCCTGAAGTTGTCTCAGGTCGGTGTGCCGTGGGGAAGTGTGTATAAAAGATATATATGATATTATTATTCCATTGGATCATTGCTTATTGTAAGACCACAAAACGCATAGGCACGCTGAATTTCTTCAACATGAACCTACCATTTGTAGTCATAAACCTTCTTATTGTTTGTTTGTCCATTGCAGGGCACACAACGCAGGGGTGATGATAAACAACGTCCGCCCAGTACGTGATGATGTATGATGACAAACAATGACATGCCAGGAGGTATAATAATGACATGATGTTGTTTGATGTTTTTTTGATAGTTTTTGATGTATATGATTGATCGTGACAGGTGGGGATACAAGCTAGTGCATGATTGATGATGCATGATGGTGCATTATGTTTTTTGATGCATGATTATATTTGCTGATAGTTGGGGGTCTATCATGATAGCTGATGATGTATGATGACACTTGGTGGTGCATGGTGAAAATAATGATGAAAGTGAAATTGCTGATGAATGATGATGCAAACTGATGATGGGTCATGATAAATTACAGACGAGTATGGCCATGATGATTGTTTTTGAATTCTGATCTTAACTGGTATTACCCTCTAGTTGTTTAACATGGCCATGGAAAATCACCATTTTTAATAGGTAAACCATCTGTAAATGGGCCATTTTCCATTGCTATTTTAAATAACCAGATGGTAAGTGGTAGTTTTTTCTGATATGCCGATATGTTTTTTTTACGGCATATGATCATATTAGTGACGTTTCGGGGTGATCGTTTGTGGTGAAAGCTGGCGGTAGGTGGTGCTTTTTTCGTGATAACAAAATAGATTGGAACCACCGAAGAGGAAGGCTGTGCAAATCATTCAGAACATGTTTCTTGGTAAATAAAACGACATCATAAACCAGACCGCATCAACGATGATTGGGAAAAAATGATGATCATTTTCCCACAACCATTGTTGGAAAATATGGCAATGGTTGTACTATTGATATTGATTTGTTTTGCCTTTCTTTTTTGAGGTGTTCTATAGTTTAGAAGCAGCATGATCTTGACCCTGACCTCGGCAGGCTGCATCGCAGCCGTTTGCTGCGAAGGCACCTGGAGGATTCCGAGATTTGAGACAACTGAAAAAGGAACCCCCTAGTACATTGAATGGCAAAAAAAGTAGTACAAAGCACAAAAGATTTTTTTCTCGAAGTTTTACCATGTTTTACCTGTAACTCGTTGAAGGATCGTCAGGTCCCAGTTCCAGCCGAGGTGCACCGTGATGCTTACCGTGTTTCATCGTTTAGCCATTTCGCTTCAAGCCAGATTCAATTTCTATGTGTGCATTCATATTTTACTCTAGTATATGCATGTATGCGTGTAGTGCATACATACAGACATACATGCATGCATGCATGCATGCATACAGTAATACCTATATAGTACGTACGCACGCACGCACGTACGTACAATTGTTGATCATGTCACAACATACATATGAACATGTGTTGTTCATGTTTGCCTATGTTTACAGATGGTATGCCGTTAATTCATGTTAATTCATACAATTGTTTGTTGAGTTTACAACTGTCAGACCTGTCAGAATCGAAAAACGTGTTTCTCTCTTTGCATGCACATCAATGCATGCATTTATCTACTGCAATGCTATGTAATGTTGTGCAATGTTATGTCATGTAAAACATCTACATGTTCATTCAAAATGCATGACGGTTTGTGTGTATATCTATATATGCATGTAACTATGTCTCTACACATAGTGTGTTAATATGTGTGTGTGTGTGCGTATTTTTTTAAGATGGTTGTATTCAGTTAGAGGTGGTGTTTTTATCATGTGTATAATCATGTGTATTCACTTATATAGTAATGGTGTCAATTTGTAATATACCCTCTGGTTATTTAAAGCTGCTATGGAAAATCACCATTTTTTTCATGGGGTAAATCATGAGAAATTATAAATGGACCATGTTAATCTGGGTAAATTATAACGACCTCACTACGACCTCACTACGACCTCACTGGAATCATGGTTAGTAAGGGGAATCATCCCAAAATGGCCTTATTTCAGGTTAGTGAAATATTATAATTTACCCAGATGTTCATCCAGTTTCCATAGCTATGTTAAATAACCAGAGGGTATCCCTATCAACCCCGACATCGCCTATCATCGCAGGCAGAGCCCTTGGTTGTACAGCGTAAGTCACCGCCGCCCGCGCCCAAGGCAGCGGTTGTCCGGGGTGGTTGGAGGGAAACGATGGGAAAATGATGGGAAAATGATAGGAGAATCACAAGAAAACCATAGGAAATATGGGAGAATTCTCCAAAAGTCATCAGGTTCATGGAAAATTCATCTAGGAATGAGAACTGTCCATTACCATATTTGATTACCAGATGGTAAGAAACCTGGTGTTGAAGAATTATTTGATATTATTTGTGGTGACTGAACCATCAAGTATGAAGATTGATATGGGGGTTAAGCATGGTCAAACTATCAAAACTATGGGGACAGATTTGAGAAATGAATGTTGGTTGGTTATGAATAATGGTTTTTCTACATAGTTTCTTGAAGATTATCATGATCCACTATGGGAATTCCTATGAACCAACCAGCAAACAGGAATGACAGATGGTTTCTGAACACTGCCCAATTGAAACCCTAAATCCTATATAGCATAAAACCTGCTTGCATTGAAGGCCAGAAATGATCATAAAATCGTGGTAATTCCCCCTTTTGAGTTTCAAACCCACACTGACACTTGAAACCCAGATATGGATGTAAGCTCAAATAAACATGTAAAAATCGCAGAATTGGAGAATTGACCAACGCACATTGGAATTTAACACAAAATGGTGTTGTCAAAAAAAACTAAATTTCTTACATGGTGTTCGGTGAAACCCCTCCACCTAAACACAGTATTTCTGTAGGCGCTAGTTTCATATAGTTTCGCGCCATCCCAAAAAACAATAAATGTTGAAATAGGGCAATGCAACATCAAGGGTCATTTGCATTGCTAGAAAAGGTCATCACCAAGGGAGGAAAACAAGTAACATCTTGGCCGCGGTTCCGACAGAAGTCCCACATCATCCGTTTCATTTTCAGAAAGCAGATGAACGTTCCGAATGCTGGCTATGTTCTCAACAAAACATGAGGATGATTTTGTTCCTTCACAAGACATAGCAAGACGTATCATTGCACAAATTGTATAGTGTGCCTTATCTAAAGGCGACTTTGTACAGTCCTGGGAAAAGCATTTCGACCAGCCACCATACACTATACACCCAGGAAATAATCAGGATTCAGTTTTTGTGTGGACATGCTGTGACAAAAGCATACACAAACATCAACATCCCGGCGAAGTGATTTTCGCACTCACAAAACTAGTTTTTAAAGAATCCGCGTTTTACTACAACGCCAAGCACCTTTATAAAATTGTTTTTCCCGTGATTTTGGAAGCCTGATTTGTTGTTGTGTTTTTTCGACTCAGTATGTCCAGTGTTTTGTTTTTCGGATAGGGTTCTGTTAGCCATAGGAAGCGTTTTGGAATGTCATGTGGTTCTAGAAGATCTCTCGCCTAGCATCAACTGCTTGTGCAAGTCAAAATGAACGTTATTGCCTAACCCAATTAACTCGATGCAGAAATATATATATATACACATAATTATACATATATATATAATATGTGAATATCTTTGTATAGAAAGAAAACGTACAAAAAGCTAGCGCGGTTTTCCCTCTGGCAAAATCATGATGGTAGAACTTTCACTGGGATTTAAACCACAAGAAGTGAGAATTATCAGCAAAGGGTTAGGAAAGGCACATCAGTGGAAGATGGGTCAAACGGTCAAACTTTAAAGGCATGGCAGAAATTGTTCGTCATTATCACATTGTGAGTTCTTTTTTGTGCCCAGAGTTGACCACTGACTTTAGAACATATTGGTTGGTGCAAAACATCACAGGGAGCCAGGTCCGCAGGCGGACCGGTAGCCGATACCTCGTTGATCCTCGCAGGCGAAAATTCTACCGGAAGTTTGGAGCTGAGATGGGAAGTGTTGTGCTGGCTATGGGATGTGGTTCACAAGCAGTTGCAGGTGGTTCACCGTGCCGGTTTCAGGGGGTTCGATAGCGTCGACACTGCTCGTTGTTTTGTTTCACAAAGGGACCTATCTTTCCTATCGATTTAGTGACAGAGTTTTGCTTGTGGCAAACGAAACATCAGTAGTGACTCCATACACCAACCATTGGTAGACTACGAACGGGTAGAACCCTGACGGCCTTTTTAATGGACAATCTCTACATGGACATTTAGATCGACAATCATATCTCGTAGCTCCACTTATCACTTGTAAACCCCGATTGGGCGTGAGTCATATCAACCCCAAGCGTTAAATAGTTGTGTATATCGTTTACCTATCTTTAATTGAAGTTAAGTGGGTTTACCACATTAAGTTGGACAGAAGCGTTGTTGCTCCACTCTGAAGCCCCTCCTGTTTAAGCCAGAAAAACTTCGTATGACTAGCATAGGCTCCACCCAATTTTGAGTATTTGTTTATTTGCGAAGAATGGCCGTTTGCAGATACAGGAATTATTTAGATCAACCGCCATAATATGTATATATATATATACTAATGTTTATTTTGTTGAATACCTTATCAAGATACTCTTGGATTTCTTAATTCATCTTTTGTTGAACATCTCAAACTATCTTGTGTACAACAAAACACCTTGACAATCCTTGACATAGATCTAAATAAAACATATTATATTATATTATATTAGATTAGATTAGATTATATTATATTGTATTATATATATATGTATTTTTATACATCTACACTATTGATACATCAAGATTTACAAAGAAAAACAACGTGGGACCATCCACGAAGCAAGGCGTGGGGTGGCAAAACCGTGACCGCCATGGAGGTGGGGCAGAGTTCTCGGTTCGAAACGGGCAGCCCATGAACCAAGGACGAAACAGGGATAAAATGTGGGCATCCCTAGGGTAAACATACAAAAAGATGTAGAAAACCTACGGGAAAACCCTAGAATGATCCACTTTCATGATTGGTTTTCCACATCTATGTGAATTTACATGGTAATTTTGATTTAAAACCAGCAAGCGAGGGAATTGAAATCTAAGTTTACCACATTTGTGGGAGTCGAAATGGGTTTACACAAGGAGAAAATATGGATTTAACATGATTTAACCATCAAAAATAAGGGTGTTAATATGATAATAATGATGCTGGTCAACCCCATTGTTTGTGTCAGAAACAAGATGTACCATGGTCGAAACTTGGATGGCCCATAGTGCCATAGCTCGTACGGATGGTCATCAATCCATGTTCATAGGGATGCATATACATATGAAATCATATGAATTAGATATGTCTAACGATTGTGGGATGATAATAATCCATGTGCCATGTCTTGACCATGACACACATCTTAGAATAATGATCAACTGGGGATTTAAGCTTCAATATTATGAATTTAGCATGATTTAACATAATCTAAGCACGGGAGATTGGAAGATGGGTTTGTTCAAAGTGGTGGATTGCCCCAGGAAAAATTACGCAGGAAGTAGCTGATTTTTGAGATGACCCCGCTGGCTGGATGGCAATGGATGGTAATGGATGGCAATGGATGGCAATGGACGATCTCCCACGGTCTCCCACGTATAACTATGACTTTTACAGCTATCCCGCAAAAGCATGACACAAGATGGGAATTCGATCCCAGTCGCATTTGTTGAGTCTGCCCACTAATGCGAAACCCACTTCTTAGATGGTTCAATCCCTATTAGTTTGAGCGTAAAATTGTAATTCTTCATGGTTTTAATCCCCAAAAAGATGGGTTTCGCTGGAGATTTTCAGGCACAGATGGAGCTGGGAGAAGCACGCTTGGCCAGGGTGGGATGCCACAGGAAGGGAGTTGCGCGGCTGGCAGCATGGGGGCTTCACCATCAAAAATTGAGGATTTGACATGATTTGACAATTAAAGATGGAGGATTCGCCCAGAAAAAACAAAAAAAACGCTTCAAAAATGATCAAAAATGAAGGATTAACCAGAGTCATAATGGATTTGGGATTTTGGGCTGAAAATCTGGTATTAGACAATCAAAATTGAAAGTTACTTACATGAGCCATGGAGAAAAAAAAACGAAGCACAATAATGTGTCCATGGGTATCATGTGTAGAGTGTGGGAGGCCTCGGGGTGGGTTTCAATGCTGAACACAACACCTTGCAAACGTTTGCGGTGTCTCAGGGTTGTTGGTTTGTATGGTGTTTTATTCTGACATTATCATGCGTAGCCTCCAAAATTGAGACTTGGGTCACTTGGGTCCTGGTAATCAAACATGACAATGGAAAATCCCGTATCTAAGAGCATTTCCCAGCTAGCAATGTTTGCAAAGCACAATATGGTAGCCCCTTTTGGTAAACCACCCCCTCCAAAGAACTCCAATGTGAAACACCGTTGCAACAGTGAACACACAAAGCTAGCCCCGGCCCGGGGGGGCTTACTATTGTCCCAACATGGAATCCATGACCGCAGATGCCTGTCAGCATCGAAGAGAATGCGGTCGAGGAGGTGCTGTCATTGGGGGTGGAAAATGGTGGATTTATAACCAACCATAATGGGGATGAAATTGACATCATGGGATATATATGCATATATGAGATGTATGACCAGATATTTCATTGGGTTCTATTGGGAAACTATGGAGGGTTTGTATCCAAATGGGAAGGTTACCCCCAGTTTCAATGGCAGTTTCAGTGGGCAACCCTCATCAAGATGCTTGGTCGAGATATGGATCCTTTGAGACTGGTGTTTTTGTGTTTGTTCATGTCGTAACTTGGGGATTCTAACAGCAAAACCGCTAGTAACTACAATGGGATTAAACCGGGCTACAATGGGGATACAATGGCGATATAATCGATAATAATTTGCTTAGATTTCGTTGGAAGTCATCGAATATCCGACTCACATTCTACTACGCAGCACTTGCGTTTGCTGAGTTTCAATTGTAATCTGGCTGTAGAAACTCGCTGTTGAAAGCCAGAGGAGTTGTAGTTTCAGAACCGGTGGGTCAGCTTGCGGTGCGCCGTTGCTGTTTTTAAGGAAACCTATCGATTTGGGAAGGCGACCCCCAATTGTCGTACATGTCAGTCGAAAGCCACAGTTCATTGGATCAGTTGTTCATTTACCGACTGTTTTGGCTTTCGGGTAGCAAGTTGTGTTGACCCAAAAGTTGGCACCAACCAGAACAGAATATGTAGCTATAGGCTGCAGGCTATTGCTGCGATGACAGGTTCGATAAGCGGTTGGAAACTTCCAGGCAGAACCAAAAAAAACAGGCTTCAATTGTATTTAAAGGAACAGGGGAATCTAAAAAAGAAGGCTTGACTTACCACATATGTAAGATCACATAATGACATACATGTATAATCATATATATATATACAGTATATATACGTGTATATATATTACTATTATTTAGTGACATTACATCTGTTCAGATATGCCCAGCATCCAGATCGAAGTGATATCCATCTGTACCCTGTTCTAAGTTAGAACACAATCTATGCTCCAAGACCCCCGGACCGCAGGCCCAAGGGCCCTTGGATGTGTGAGGACTCAGGTGCTGGAAACCATGTGAATTGACAAATAAAGCGCAGAATCACAATACATACAAGACCATGTATACAGTATACGTGTACATATACTGTATTTATATATACACGTATATATATATATATATATGTGTGTACGTGTGACTATGCATCTGCATACAACATGCCTTAGGCCATGAGCGTCGGCTCGCACGAAGACGATCTGAAGCTCGCCAAGGCAAAGGGCCAAGCCGGCCCCGCGGAGGAAGCCCTGGGTAGGTACGGTAGCCACAAATGCGGAAGTGTATCCCAAAATATAGGGTTTATAGGGTTTATAACCCCCAAACATATGGGAAAGAAAGACTTACCAACCTTTCAGAAACAATGAATGCCAATGATTCAATGACGTATTTTGACTTGTTAACGTAGCCGACTTAGCCACAGTACTAAGTGGGCCTTTTTGGAGCAGCATTTTGATATGCGATTGGATCATGATTTTTCTGGGACCCCAAGAAAGAAAATCAACAAGGGACTTTATTAGGCCTGGGGTGATCTCGAAGTTCAGAGCTTCTCATCTCAAGATGAGGCCACAGCCACATTATGTGCCACATTCCAAAATGACCCAAACATACCCAAACGATATAGAGAAGTTTCTCTTCACATGCATGGGCACCAAAGTGTCGGAAGGCTTTGTGATTAAATTGATGGGGATTTAACCATATTTAATCATCATTTATAGGGGTTATAACCACCAAACATATCTGAATATAGTTGATATATGATGGTCGATTGGTTGTGAAATGGGGGTTATGAACCGACCTGATTCATGGGGATTATGATAAGCCACAATCAATGGGATCCCTTTTCACCAAGCATTTTCGTGGGATAGGCGGGACAGGGATATGTGTCGTGGCTCAGAAAGACCTGAATATGATTCGTCACAAATGAATTGAACTCGTGAGATTTTGCGTGGAAACTGGACATGACCAAACCATTTTTCAGGACCGTGATTCTCCAGTTTCCATCTTGCCCGGTACTGCAATGGGAAATCCGCTATCAACAGATAGACGATTTCACCGTGAACTGAAAGGTTCGACCCGTTCAATGATACAGAAATGTTGATGGTAAATTCCCTCTACTTAAATGGGAACATCTGTTTGCTGCTCAACTCCCTATGCGGCTCCGAACAGGCACATGCCACGGGCCTCCCAGAGAGTTTTGACTTCCAAGCTTTGAACGTTGAGGCAGGGACTTCATCGAGATCGCGATGTGGTGAACGAGTAACACGGTTCTCGACACTTTGTATCACACGAATCTGCAGCCTTCCGCATTTGCTGGTGGCTGCTTTGCTTTGGCAAGCATCCCAATGGATTTAAATTGAATCAACTGAGTCTTTACAGACTTTACAGGTTCTGTTCCAAAAAGTGCAGCATTTCCTGTTGCCTTCAGAAAACTCAGTTATATTGGCAGGAAGCAAGACAGAAGAGAGAGGAGACGACCACAATGGACAGTGGAGCCAGGGACTCAAAGAATTGACGACTTGGTGGCGCTTCCTGGGAAACCTCCACGGCGCAATAAGTTTTTTTATGATGGTTTATCATGGTTTATCGCCATTTGTTCCAATGAAAAGCTATAAACAGGTCATTATGTACAATATGTCCCTCATTTTGAGACATGCGGTGACCAGTTTGGCATCAGGAGGCGCCAAAGCAAAGAGAGGAGGCGGGGACAGTGTCTGACTGTGTTTGTGTGAGTGGTTCTAAAGCTGTAAGGGAAACATGTCTCTAACAGTGAATCCTTCCGGCCGTCCAGCAAAGGCGACTGTTGCGACAAAGTTTTCTGAAAGTGATAGCTGCAAAATGCTGCAAAGACCATGACCATTTTCATACTTTTGGATTGGTTGCTTCTGGGTCGTTGAAATGGATCGAGAATTTGATGAACTCCTTGCGATTTGTTGCCACTACCTTAAAGGTACCCAACATGCCAGTGTTGCGATCAAAGCTAGGCACAAGTCACCGACCTCCCAGTGAGTCCGACGACGGAGGAGGGCGGAGTGAAATGGAGTGAGGGTGTAGTTGTGGGCATTATGATGTCAATATGTTTTGTAGTCAAGACATGGAAATCATTTTTTGAGTAGGAGCAGTGTCCCAAGGTAGAAAGGACTATCTTCGCCTTGCCAAGTGCAGTCGTGGACGCTGAAATTTGTTCAAATCCATTCTGGAGATGGGCAGAGGTTGCCATTTGTCGTGTTGCACGTGCCACTGAATTTTCTTGTCTCAGTTGAGGTACTTGTATACCAATGTGCCTGCCTATTTCCGCTGTGTGTGTGTGTGCCAGATTTTGTCAACAATGACCAAAGTTTTGCAGAAAAACGGTTATAACTTTGAGTTTTCAGACAAAGAGCTCCTGAGACAAATCAATCTGCATCAGGAGGCACCACAGCAGCCAGAAGAGACGGCCATCAGTGTGGCCAGTGCCTCAAACAACTGTCAACCTTACAAGGGTGATCCATTTCTGGCCTGCTCCATGTTCATTGAAGCATTGGGGCTTGCGTAGTTTGCTAATCTGCTAGGGCTACAGAGTTTCCAGGTGTAATTGGCCTGTGGGAAAAACCGTGGTTGGTGTGTGATTGGAGAATCTCATGCCATCTCGTGCCATGAATTGCACAAAAAGGATATAGGATGATATAGGCATTGTCTTAACAATCGTTCTCACAGGCTATCCAAGGTTGGCCGTTAGCCATGATTTTCTCCACCCTGAGATTTCATTAGATGATTTTATGTCGCTCCTTGAAATGTGGTCACACATTTGATGCTGCTGTGGCAGTCAAAGCTAGGCGCAAGTCACTGACCTCCCAGTGAGTCCGACGACGGAGGAGGGCGAAGTGAAATGGAGTGAGGGTGAGTTGTGGGCATTATGATGTCAGTATGTTTTGTAGTCAAGACATGGAATACCGTTTGTTTGGTAGGAGCAGTGTCCCCAAAGGTAGAAAGGAGCATCTAGTACCGGCCAAATGCAGTCGTGGATGCTGAACTTGTTCAAATCCATCCTTGAGACAGGATGAGATAGGCAGAGTTTGCCGTTTCTCGTGTTGTGCCAGATTTTGTCAACAATGACCGAAGTTTTGCTGAAAAACGGTGATAACCCCACGAGTTTTCAGACAAAGAGCTTCTGAGACAAATCAACCTGCATCAGGAGGCACCACAGCAACCAGAAGAGACGACCATCAGTGTGGCCAGTGCCTCAAACAACTGTCAACCTTACAAGGGCGATCCATTTCTGGCCTGCTCCATGTACATTGAAGCATTGGGGCTTGCGTAGTTTGCTAATCTGCTAGGGCTACAGAGTTTCCAGGTGTAATTGGCCTGTGGGAAAAACCGTGGTTGGTGTGTGATTGGAGAATCTCATGCCATCTCGTGCCATGAATTGCACAAAAAGGATATAGGATGATATAGGCATTGTCTTAACAATCGTTCTCACAGGCTATCCAAGGTTAGCCGTTAGCCATGATTTTCTCCACCCTGAGATTTCATGAGATGGTTTTATGTCGCTCCTTGAAATGTGGTCAAACATTTGATGCTGCTGTGGCAGTCAAAGCTAGGCGCAAGTCACTGACCTCCCAGTGAGTCCGACGACGGAGGAGGGCGAAGTGAAATGGAGTGAGGGTGAGTTGTGGGCATTATGATGTCAGTATGTTTTGTAGTCAAGACATGGAATACCGTTTGTTTGGTAGGAGCAGTGTCCCCAAAGGTAGAAAGGAGCATCCAGTCGTGGATGCTGAAACTTGTTCAAATCCATCCTTGAGACAGGATGAGATAGGCAGAGTTTGCCGTTTCTCGTGTTGTGCCAGATTTTGTCAACAATGACCGAAGTTTTGCTGAAAAACGGTGATAACCCCACGAGTTTTCAGACAAAGAGCTTCTGAGACAAATCAACCTGCATCAGGAGGCACCACAGCAACCAGAAGAGACGGCCATCAGTGTGGCCAGTGCCTCAAACAACTGTCAACCTTACAAGGGCGATCCATTTCTGGCCTGCTCCATGTACATTGAAGCATTGGGGCTTGCTAGTTTGCTAATCTGCTAGGGCTACGGATTTCCTTCCTCCAGGTGTAATTGGCCTGTGGGAAGAAACCGTGGGTTGGTGATGTGATTGGAGATCTCAGCCATCCTCGTGCCATGACTTGCACACAAAAAGGATATAGGATGATAGAGGCATTGTCTTAACAATCGTTCTCACAGCTAATCCAAGGTTAGCCGTAGCCATGATTTTCTTTTCCCCACCCTGAGATTTCATTAGATGATTTTATGTCGCGCGCTTGAAATGTGGTTCACACATTTGATGCTGCCTGTGGCAAGTCAAGCTGGCGCAAGTCCCTGACCTCCCATTGAGTCCGAGACGGAGAGGGCGAAGTGAAATGGAGTGAGGGTGAGTGTTGTGGGCATTATGATTCAGTATGTTTTTTTTTTTGGTAGTCAAGACATGTATAACCGTTTGTTTTTTGGTAGGAGATGTCCCAAAGGTCGAAAGGAGCATCTATAACCCCGCAAGTGGCATTCCGTGGGATGCTGAAACTTGTTTTTCAAATCCATCCTTGATACAAGATGAGATAGGCATAGTTTGCCGTTTCTTTGTTGTGCCAGTTTTTGTCAACATGACCGAAGTTTTGCTGAAAACGGTGATAACCCCACTAGTTTTTCAGACAAAGAGGCTTCTAGACAATCATCTTCATCAGAGGCACCACATCAGCCAAAGAGACTGCCATCAGTGTGGCACACAGTGCCTCAAACAACTGTCAACCTTACAAGGGCGATCCATTTCTGGCCTGCTCCATGTACATTGAAGCATTGGGGCTTGCGTAGTTTGCTAATCTGCTAGGGCTACAGAGTTTCCAGGTGTAATTGGCCTGTGGGAAAAACCGTGGTTGGTGATGTGATTGGAGAATCTCATGCCATCTCGTGCCATGAATTGCACAAAAAGGATATAGGATGATATAGGCATTGTCTTAACAATCGTTCTCACAGGCTATCCAAGGTTAGCCGTTAGCCATGATTTTCTCCACCCTGAGATTTCATTAGATGATTTTATGTCGCTCCTTGAAATGTGGTCACACATTTGATGCTGCTGTGGCAGTCAAAGCTAGGCGCAAGTCACTGACCTCCCAGTGAGTCCGACGACGGAGGAGGGCGAAGTGAAATGGAGTGAGGGTGAGTTGTGGGCATTATGATGTCAGTATGTTTTGTAGTCAAGACATGGAATACCGTTTGTTTGGTAGGAGCAGTGTCCCCAAAGAAAGAAAGGAGCATCTAGTACCGGCCAAATGCAGTCGTGGATGTTGAAATATGTTGAAACCTATTCTGGAGATGGGCAGAGCTTGCACTTTGTCATGTTGCTCTGCTTCTTGTTTGGCAGTATTCCTGCAATTAGAAAGTTGCTTGTTGTTTTCAGCGGTTGTATACTGTACCTGGGGATCTTTTGTGCGTCAGGAGACGCAGCCAAAAGAAGACACAAGGGCCATTGACAGTGAGGCCAGCGCCTCAAGTAGCCTTGAGTGACTCCCAAACAGAACAAGGATAAGAAAGGAGACACATATGATGGTTCCAGTGGATCTGTCTTATCTTTCCAATGCAAAGGAATCTTTCACCTATCACCAACCAACACGCGGCCCGGCAGGCAAATGACCTTCCAGTGAGTCCAACAGAGGAGGGGGGGAGTGAAGGGGGGCAGTTTTGGCTTTACACCCAGCCAATTTATGGGGATTCGAACATCAAAGACTGGCGGTGTTCCTGTCATTAGTGGGTTTGAGTGTGTCGGGGTAAATCTAGGCTTATCTAGAAATATGGAAATGCTAATCAACTGCTGGATTTCGAGGAGGTATGTGTACAATACTGTTTCCGATGTTTTTAGCTTGAGGTCAGAGTCAGTATGGAGGTACTTCAGTAGACAAAGGTTTGGTGGTGTGATCGATTTTCTTTGGTCAAGTGTACGGTTGGTTCAGGCATCTCCAGACCATGACACTTCTACTATATCCTACTATCATGTTTTGGATTTGCGTAGTCATACAGGTTAACTCGCTAAGGCAGCAGCTGATTGTCATTCATGTATTTTTCTCGTCGGGAGAACCATCTTGGTTGGGCAGTGCATTTGGCTGGTGAACGCATCGGTTGGTTAAATCCAACCTTCTGCTTGTGATGAAGTCGCAAGTGTCATTGCTATTCAACCATCGCAACTGCTGGGTACAGGTACTACCCCCTTTTTGCTCCAGTAAAATATTCATGTTACTAGTAAATCAATTTTTGTGTATATATATATATGTATATATGTATATACATATGATATTATATGTATATATGTGATAATATATATATATGATTATATAATTATAATATATATATATATATGATTGTATATATGATTATATATATATGTGATTATATATATAATTATATATAATTATATATTATTGTATATTATTATATATTATATATTATATATTATATATTATATATTATACATTATATATATCATTATAATTATATATATAATTATATATATATAGTTTGGTACAACGCCCGGCCCAATATTCACATGTGTTCAAAAGCCATCCATACATACGGCATATACGCATACATATATATATATGCATATAATTAATTATAAATTATAATTATATACATTCTATAATTAGATTTATAATACACAGATTATTTCGGGTAACAGCATGGCTGTGGCACGTTGTGTTTTCACTGGCGCCGCGTCCTGCAGGAGGTGTTGCTTCCGGAGCGACTCGAAAGGCTGCGACAAAAGGCTCAAGAGGTGGCTTGTTTGGGGGTATGGTCGCCCCATCATTGGGATATGATGGTGATATATGCTGATACTGTGGGTGGAAGAAATCCTGCACCAGTTGGTAATTACTGGCAACTGTGAAACAATGTCAATCAAGGGGGTGTAAGGAGAAACCATCCACAGTATTATGATTCGGATTCTTGCAATAATGGGGTTGATGGCATGTGATGACCATCCCCTTTATGAGAAAAAGTCGTTTATGTTATTGGGCACCCAAAAAATCCTACGAACAGACTAAATGTTATTCCCTGGGCCTAAATTTTGAGCTAGACTATTTGAGTTGAGTGGCAAATTGTCACAGATCGGGGGTACCCCTGAGAAAACATCAGCCATAATAATTCAGGGTTGACTCGAGAAGTACGAAACCCTACAGCACTGGGATTTTTGTCCATCTGAATCTGAACTGTCAGGCCACATGAACCATGGTCCAAAGAGACTGTATACTGGTATTATCCTGCATTGGGGGGATGATCATCAATCCATTTGATGGGAATTTCTATGTCCATCATAAGGATTCCCCATGGAAAATTCATGGATGACCATAACCCATATTAACCATTATTAACCCATGTAACTTGACTACCATAATTCATGGATGACCATAGCACACATGTTTGGTCCCTTTGAGTACCGTATCCTGACCAGGCCCTGCTTCAAGGCGCCCAGAGTGGTGAGTTGTGGAGCCTTTTGCAACGTCACGCCGCGCAGAAAGCGCAGTCAGAACTACTGGAGGCAGGAGAACAAGTGTAGTGCGGTAAACCCTATAATCAACCTACCATTTGGGGATAGTTTATAGATGTTTATAGAATCTATTCTAGTCTATTCTCACTTTGGATATGTGTCGAAACTTACTCGGTTTTCACAGAGTAAGTAGCTGTAGCTAGTTTGGTGATTTAGTGGATGTTCAACAATGACGGAAAAAAAATAAATAATGTCTTAAACTCAACAATAAATCCACCATTTGGGGATAGTTTGTAAACCCCATTTATGTGATTTTGGGGATGTGTTGGGTTTACTACATTATCGAGCGGAGGATGCGATCCGTGTTCAACAGCTGGATCAATGGGTACAGGTCATTTGTATTTAGTGATCTCTGATAAGATGTTGGTCTTTTGCACAAGTTGTAATAAACCATTCCATTCTGGAGGGTGCTTCAACTCCTACTGCCTTTATATCCCAGAATATCTGATAAATTGATTGATAGATGTATGGATGGATAGATGGATGGATAGATAGGTGGATAGATGAGTAGATGGATCGATGGATCGATGGATCGATGGATGGATAGATGGATAGATGGATAGATGGATGGATGGTTGGATAGATAGATAGATAGATAGGTGGATGGATGGATGGATGGATAGATAGGTAGGGTGATGATGAATACCAACAATTATGAGAAATGGCACCAACAAATGGATGAAAACAATTACAGTAAGATTCATGTTGGGGCTGGGACCCCAAATAGATAGCGGAGGCGGACCCAATCACTATTATTGCCAATTCACGGGAAAAAAGCCGAATTGCCGAGAATTGAGTGGGTTTGCCTCCAGAATGGGTATGGCCCGCACTTTTCATCAGAAATAAATGATGATAAGTCCACCGTTATACGATATTTAGCTGAGTACGTACCGGATGTTATTTGAAGGCAGGTGGTCTCATGCCATTTCCCAACAGTTGAAGGCTGCGGTCATGATACTTGAATTGGTGGTGGAGTGGCACCGGTGCAGTTGGAAGCATCATCAGAATATGATAGGACATACTTTTGAATATCATTATGGCTCATGATCAGGATTCAGGATAGTGTTAACATTCATGTTGACATCGACAAAGGCTTGCTATGATGACGACGATGATGATGATGATGACGACAATAATGATGATGAGGATGATGATCACGAGATAATGACGTAAAGATGATGATCATTATCATGAAGATGATGACGATGCTGGCGATGATGATCATGAAGTTGATGATCATTATCATGAAGATGATGAAGATGATGACGATGATGATTGATATTGATGATGATGATGATGATGAAGATGAAGATGAAGATGAAGATGACGACGACGATGATGATGATGATGACGATGATGAGGATGAGGACGACGACGACGACGCGACGACGACGCAACGACGACGCAACGACGACCACGACGACCACGACGACCACGACGACCACGACGACCACGACGACCACGACTGACGACGACCACGACTGACGACGACCACGACTGACGACTGACGACTGACGACGGACGACGGACGACGACGACGACGACGACGACGACGACGAGGACGAGGACGAGGAGGAGGAGGAGGAGGAGGATGTTGATGATGATGATGATGATGGTAGTGGTGATGATGATGATGATGAGGATTTTGATTGATGATGAGGATGTTGATTATGATGATGATGATGATGATGACGATGATGATGATGATGATGAGGATGAGGATGAGGATGAGGAGGAGGAGGAGGAGGAAACTGGAATGTTTCGTGCAAAAAGATGGGCCCAAAACAACACCAGGGGCACCACTTGACCATAGCCATGGTTCCAGGCCTCGCGTACAGGTCGCCTTCAAGGCGCCCTCAAGCAGCTTCAGCCCGAGGTGGAGCAAATCCGATGCTCGGATGCGGCTGCCGTCCTTTCAGGGTGGCGATTACGCAATCCTCGACACATTCGGCTGATTCTCAGGGTCAAAATTGTTAGGGGGATGGTACAGATTACATTTGTGACAAAAATGACCTGGCAATGGTTGACCAACAAATTGACTTGTTTGGCATCAAAACGTGGGCATACAGCAGTTTGCAGGGGTAAACGGAGCATGCACCCAAGAGTTTTTTTGGGGTACAAAAAGCATCAACAAATTGGGTTAAAAAGAAAAGGTGGGTGACTCAAGACGAGCAAACATACAGTCATGATTCTGATGATACATATGATACCGGCAAGAAAGCGAGCTAAATGTGGTTAGACCATGCAATTGACGATAAAACAAGAAGGGAAAGAGGCTGCATTACCAACAACATCCAGCAACTGCTTTTGTATGATGGTGGTGTTTCCCTTGACCCCAGAAAGTGGCTGGGAGCTGCATCACTCTTTACTGTTTGTTCTGCATGGTGCACCACCTTTCGAAACATAGTCCACATAGATGTAAAAGGAGTGAGTATGTGCAAAATCTATCAAAATCTCATCCGCCATTTTTGATCTACATGGCTTGGTCTGAAAAGAGCGTGCTCCCAAATCCCATGGTTGATTTTAATTTTGAACACATCGTAATTTGGGGTATCCCCTCTCTTTAGGGACAAAGCCACATCTTAGACGTTCAAGAACTAGACAAACTCTGCTGCGTCTCCACAAAGCTGAAGGGCTACTTGAATTTCAACTGGGTTCATGTTTGTGCTAGGGGACCGAAAACCGAACGTGTAGTGACGCATGTTTTGCCAACGGACCCAAAACCGTGCTTGTAAAACGCACTTTTTTGTATGATCCATGTTCAAGTGCGTTACTAACTTCTCCAATCATGTTCGTGGGGTGTGGTGGGGTGGAGTGGACTATTAACGTTCTGTCCACGAAGAACTTCCAAGTACTTTACTAACTTCTCTTCTCTAACCACGTTCATTTGGTGGGGTGTGGTATTAACGTTCTGTCCACAAAGCACTTCCAAGTACGTTACTAACTTCTCTAACCACGTTGATGGGGTGGGGTGGGGTGGGGTGGGGTGTGGTGGGCTATTAACGTTCTGTCCACGAAGAACTTCCAAGTACGTTACTAAATTCTCCAATCACGTTCATGGGGTGGGATGGGTGGGGTATTGCCGCTGTGTCCACAAAGAACTTCCAAGTACGTTACTAAATTCTCTAACCACGTTGATGGGGTGGGGTGGGGTGGGGTGGGGTGGGCTATCAATGTTCTGTCCACGAAGAATTTCCAAGTACGTTACTAGCTTCTCTAACCACGTTCATGGGGTTGACCACACAAAGTCCGTGGCTGTTAGTGTACGCACGCTGTTGACAGTGGCGTTACATCAATATGTGCAAAGACATGTTGAATACAGCAAAAGCTGTACAGCAAGCGTTGCTTGGCTGAACCGTGCCAATTTCGACTGGCAGGCGTGGGGAAATGACTCACAGGCACTCGTTGCAGCCTCTGTTTTTGGACTTGCAAGACAGAAAAGCTTCATTTCCACAGCACGAAATGATTTAAAAAGAGAACACCATGGAATTGCCACGAAAAAGAACAAAAAAAGATTCAAGTGTGCCGAAACCTCACGTTTGATGCACTTTGAGGTTATTCACAAATGTCAACGCCGCTAGCGCGGTTTCCGGTCGGGCGTATGTTTTTGGTAAAGGAAAAAATGGAAAAAGGAATCAACTGAGTGCTTTACCATTGTTCACAAGTCATTTGCTGGGATCACACATAATTTCTTCGAATACGTGCGGGACCTTTCTTGAAACACGCAGGCGCGATAGTTATTGAAGGATGCTCTGATCTGATTTGATATGATATGTTATGTATGTAGACACGTAATGATACTTATGTATAGAGATATCGTGGACCCTTCCCTGACCACAGCAGATGACTGCGGACTTTGAGGAGGTGTGATGAACTATGTGGAGGTTTCCTATACCCCAATGGCTGGATGGTTGATAATGGAACATCCCATGAAAATGAATGGTTTGGGGGTATCCCCTAT